GATTCCTAAGACTCATCGCCCGACTTCTTATTTTTGTTGGAAAAAGACGACTTCTTATTTTTGTTAAAAAAAGACCGGCCACCGAAAAAGCACGTTCAGATTCTACCCAGGTAGGCATTAAAAAAATTATACGCTCTTTACAAAAATCACTACGTGTTCCTACATTTTCAAGCAACAGCATTTCCTTTTTAGAATTTTATTCGACAGCGTCTCACATCGAATTGGTATGCTGAGCAAATGTGCTTTTTTATAGCTTTATTAAGTTTGTCTGTTATTTTTTTGCTCCTTTTAAGTGTAAAAGAAATAGATTCAGATGGAGAGTCAGAATAATTAGAAACAGTTTTGAGTAGTGTCTCATTTGAAACAGAAATTTCAATTTCAGACTTAGATTCATAAGCTGTTAATGATGTAGCTGAATTTGAAGCGTCTAGTTATTCGAGTAACTCAACTATTAACTTGCGACATTTTATTGAAGACGGAACTGTAACTTACTCTATTTCAAATTCGGAATCAACCTTGGTTCTGCCATTGTGCAGATACTGAAGAATCCTACTTACATTGGTATACCTTCGTTGCATTCGAAGAAAGAGAGATGAACGCAACTTTTGGCGTTGTTCGAACATCTTTGAGTTTTTTTTACATAAAAGTTATTGCAACATCGGCTGTAAACAAGTTTTTGTTTCTTTTTCCTGCTTTTGATATAGTACTTCAATAACGGTTGCACACCATGGGCAAAACATAACTGCTAATTTACAGATAATATTCTCCCAGATTTTTTCATCACACTTGCTCCGTCAGTCATAATACCAACAATATCTTTTTGCAAATCAAGTCCATGTTGTGCTTTTGTTCTAAAAACTCAACACACTTTTCTCCAGATATTGTTTAGCGGCTTTACAAATTATGCTTAAGCTTCAGAACTGAAAATCTTGGGCATGTAAATTAAAATTCATGTAGCAACGGTTACATAGTGATGTCCATTTATCATAAGATAAAGAAAAGCTTTCTCTTACACTGAATTTAGATTTTTTTTTGCCGGCTATTTCAGTAATTAAAAAGTTCCTTATTTTTTTGCTGTAATCTTCAACCATTTTACGCAGAGTATTGACTGTTGTGGGTAAACTTTTAAATCCTGTAGCTATAAGATCTGCACGTATATCACAAGCCTGTAGGAACAAAAATTATATGGGGAGGGGGGCAGTGCTAGATTAAGTCCCAAAATAGTTTTAAGGACCTCTTATTTTTTAATCCCAGTGGTTTTTATTCTCGCTCCAATATTGGAAAATAATTGATTAAAGTTTTGGTTTATTTTGTTGGTGGTTCATCTGGTGTGTTTGCCGAAATAGAAGCAGATGTAAGGTTAACTTTATGGATAGAAAATTAGTCTGTAAGTGCGTATGGAGACCTTCCGTTGAGCCACCTCCAATTTTTAAAATCTTTTTTTTTTTGTAAGAAATGTTTCCAAACCGTAGAATTACTTTTTTTGTCATATTCCATACAAGAAGCCATTATAGTTTAAGAAAATTTACAGTTAGTAATTTTAATTTAATTAAAACTAGTACTATAAAATAAACACGAAAAAATAACGTATATTCGAAATAAAATTGTAAGAAATTTGAATAAAAGCTACTAAGCGCCAACAAGTTTAAAAAATGTAATTGTAACCCAATTTTAATTTTTATAGTAAATCTAACCCAAATATTCTAAAAAAAACATAATTGCATAAAATTCAAATTTGAAATTTTTGCAATTATGTTTTGTAAAGTTTGAATTTTGATTATAATAGAAGGAAAAAAATTAATTCAGGATTTTTCAATATGAAAATAGTCCAATTTCAACCAAAGAAACTTTAATTTTAAAATGTTCAACCAAATACGATATAAAACAAAATCGCGGGATTAAGCAATCGGGATCCCGGGATTCCCAACCCTAGCATAAAGGTTTTCTTTTTTAACTATCAACAAAACTTTTAATAATTATAGAATACTTCAAAATGCTATCACATCTGAGGTCTTTAACAACTTTCTTTCATAATACTTTTCAGTAGACTACTAATGATAGAAGCAGTAACAGTTGATAACATATCAAATATGACAAAGACAACGGTAGCTTTACTAAAAGCAAGGTAGTTTTGTGTAACATCCCAGCTAACAAAAAACGTTCAAGAACGTTCAACGAACGTTGTGAACGTTCGATGAACGTTCGTAGAACGTTCGTAGAACGTTCGATGAACGTTCGTAGAACGTTCTTGAACGTTCACAACGTTTGTTAAACGTTCGCAACATTTGTTAAACGTTATGTGTTAGCTGGGATAATTCTTTTTTTCTTTTCTTTCCTCTTGATTTCCCTTCACTATTTAAAGTAAAGAGGACTCAATATTGAACTGACTATATCTCTATAACTGACTTTATCAACTTTGGAGTAGTTATTAATTTATGTTACGTTATTATTTGTTGGTCTTTCAAGCTTTGTGATATCTTAGAAAATATCGACTTTTACTAAGTCTCAGTACTATAGCTTTAGGACCATAAAGTCCATAGAGTAAGAAATATTTAATCGTTCTACAATTTCATGAGTAACTTTAGAGTTAGAAATATTCAATCGTTCTACAATTTCATGAGTAATTTTGGAATTAAAAATATTCAATCGTTCAACAACTTTATTAGTAACTTTAGAAAAAATTTCTTGTATTGATATTCTACGTAGATTTTTTTTCATAAACTAGCAGTTTGTCTTGCAGATCTAGGCAGTGCTATAAACAATAGCTTAAATGTAGGAAACTTTTTTTTGAATAACTTTCTAGGATAACTATCTACCTCCAATTTAGCTTAATTTTAATGGATTTATTGACTTTCTTAGCAATTAATAATGCCATTTTTGTTTTTGAATATAATATGAACCTTAAATAAAAAAAGATTCTAGAATACAGGTACAATAGCAACAACAACAACAACAAAAAAATCTCTAATATTTAACAATCATAGTTATAAGATAAATTTGAGTATCATTAAATGCTAGTACAAAAAATATCATATAAAACTATATTTGTTATTATACTAACATATGAAGCCATAAACTTTTATAAATTTGGAAAATAATATTTTATTGAAAATAAATAGCTGTATTTTACAACACTTTGTCAATATATATAAGAAAAAAACACAATATTATCGAAAAAGAAAAGCGATTTTCTGGTAGCAAGATTTTACCCAAAACAGTAAACCGTTCAACTCAAAAATTGTGGCAGCTTTATAATCTAATGGAACAATGTAAAACCAGAGTAAAGTAAAACCAGAGGTTGAAAAAAAGATGTTAATTGGTATCTTAATTTTTGTCCTGTTTCATGGATTCTTTCTCAATGAAAAAAGTTTATTCTAATTATAACACTGCCCTCCAAAACAGCAACCAAATAAAAAAAACTTTTTTTTTTAAACTTCAGTTACTGAATACAGCAACTTTTCTAAAAAAAGGACTCTTAAAATGAAAAAAATGGTTAATATTATCAAAGAAAAAAAATTTATACATAATAAGACTACTTGAAAATGAATAGTGTTTATTTTTTGGTTAAATTGGTATTTTAATGTAAAATGTGGTCTTGCAAAACATTACCATTTTTTTTATAACTACTCACAAAAAAAAAAAAAAAAAAAAAAAAAAAAAAAAAAAAATTAAAACCAACAGTTATTGGCATATAGTTTACTATATGATCATGGAACATCTTCTTGGTATCAACTCTCAATGAGTTTAATAATTTTTTCTGGTGTAATCTCATTCCAGATGGCTTCAGTAGCTATAAATAGCTCATCAGCGTTTTTGAAGGGTCCTTTGTGTTTTCGGGAAAGTTCAACTTGGTACCATAAATTGTAAATTTATGGATTTAAGTGATTAAGCTGGTTACTTCATTATTTTAATTTGATTTATTTTAAACCATTGTATAGCTTGTTTAGAGGTGTGTTTTTGTTGAAATACCCATAAAGAAGGCATGTTACTATTAACATGAGGAACCAACTTTTCTATGAGAATATCACGATAAACAAAGTGATCCATAATGCCATTTAATCTTTAGATAGGTCTAAGTCAGCTAAAACCAGAAAAACAACCTCAAATCATTATACTTTTTCCACCACCATGCTTGACTGTCATTCTTGTGTATTTAGGATCTTAACGTTTACGTTTAGGCCTATGTACCTTTAAATTGCCATCAAAACCTTTCAAATTGAGCTTTGATTCATTGCTCCACAATATTCTTTTTCAATAATTAATAGTCCAACCTCTATGAGCATTTGCAAATTTAGTTTTTCAGTTCTTTGGAGAATTGAGAGGTGTTTTTTGCTGCTCTTAAGGTCAAAAGTCCTAAAAGTTGTAACCGTCTGCAAATTGCATTTTAAGACTCTGAAAGTTTTAGTTTTTTAGATATACCATTAGCAATCCTTTTTGGCGCGACGAGTAATTTTTCTGTCCGTGAAACGACATTTTGCGTGATCTCCCGCCCTCATGTTTTATTTCAAAAAGATTGCCTTTATTAAATTGTTTGATTATTTGATTTATGAATGGATTACTTGGTGGCAATATCTTTTTAACTCCTTTTTTATAATCTTTTATAATACGTCTTCTAAAAGCTAAATTATACTAATTTCCTGCCATTTTATTCCAAAACAGCGCAAATTCGTGATCTCAAGCAAATAGCTAATTGTAACGCTACATCTCTGAACAAAAATTAACGATTTGTTAACTTTTACCAGTTAAAAATTAACGATCACAAAATTAAAATTCTCTTGGATATTATTTCCGCACGAAGAAATTCTCTAGCGATTGATTTTTTGTATTACCCCTAGGGAAAATAACTTTATTTTAATTACTTTAATTTTAAATTTAAAAATTTATAAATGTAACGTTTTAAAAAATAAAACAAATTTATTTGTATTACCAACTTAATTATTAAGAATTTTCAATATTAACTCTTTCAATATTTTAATTCTTAATCCAGTATAAAAACTGTGAAATCGCACTCATAACTAAGATGAATAATTTATTCCATTGTGTTTTTGTGTAAATATTTTACAAAATTTTCAAAAATAAAAATAAAAAAATAATGATAATCTGTTTCCAGAATATTTTCGCTAGAAACACTATTGATATTTTTAATCTAAAACAAAATAACGATTTCTTATATATCGAAGACAGCTCTAACATCAGTGTTTCCATCATTAAAAAGTATTTTTTTCGAAGTTTCCTCTTTCCTATCATTAGGTGAAAGTTCTAACATAGCTATGGGTGGCAAAAGGACTGCTACTGGATGCACATTCGTAGTTTCTGATACAGCGTGCACACTGCCAGGAGGACTAATCAGAGGCAAAGGAGTAAAGAGTTGAACATTTAATCCAGAAGGTTCGTCTGTTAATAATGGACTTGAAGCACGTTGTGAAACTGGTGATGATACAGGAGTAGAAACAATATCTAACAGTGGTTTTGTCAAAGAAACGGAGCTAACTTTTAAAGACGACGAAGACTCGATATTTTGTTCAGGTGAATGGGTTCTTAAAACTATGAATTTGTAAATATAGAATTTAAAAATAGAAAAATAGAAAGACTTTTTAAAAATCTTCAATTTAAGTTATAAATAATTAAGCAATAAAATAAAATTATAAAAATTATACTTTGCACAGAATCGCCATCTTCTATGTTATGAATAGTCATTAGTCTAGGAACATCTGGTTCCGGAGGTGACGAAGCACGCAATGAAACCGGTGACCGAGTCGCTAAAAGATCATCTTTTAAATTTGGCAGAAAGCAGTCTATTCGGTCCCAGGTAACCTTAAATAAAAACATAATTAAATTTTTTTTTTTTTAAAAAAGAAAGATAAAGATATTAAACTCTTCATCATATTAAACCGTCTAGCATTACAACATTAATAAAAACTTTTATAAATAATAATAAAAACGGAATAATAAAAAAACCATTAAAAAAAAACTTTATCAAAATCAATCAATTTGTTAAGAAAATTTAAAAATTCTTGTTAATTAGTCAATACTTAATTTCAGTAGCATTACTAAAACTATTTAATAACTCCATAATTTTAATGCTTCATCGGATTGCTTTTACTTTATTGTATAAATATATAAGGAAAAGTAATTGTAAATATTTTTATAAAAATTACCTGCCACAATGCTGAGTACCGTCTAGTTTTTTTATCTGGATTTTCATTCTCTGGTATATCTTGATGATGTTCAAATATTCCCGCTGTTGACATCACAAGCAGCATATTTTTAAGTGACTCCGGGACAGCCTCAAACTGGAAAATATATATATATATATATATATATATATATATATATATATATATATATATATATCAATGGTTTGTTGTTTGCTGATGTTTTAGAGATTATATTTTATATTTATATATTAAAATTTTATTGAACAAAAAGACATCATAAGCATAGTGAAAGCAAAGTACGAAAAACTTACAAAAAGTACGTAAAACTTACAAGTAAGTCACTATTGTCGGCATGCATATACTTGTCCATAAAGTCAAGCATTGTCATCCATAATGCTGTAAATGTTGCCAATGATATTAAAGTGTTTAAATGCAAAAGAAAAGCCTTTAAAAAAAGTTATACAAACATTAGACTTACACAAAATAAGGCTTTTAAAGAATTTTATTGAAGACATAAAGGTTAAACTTTTAAAACAAAATTGTTCACATACAATCACTCAGTAAACCCAAATAATTCTTGAGTTATTTGAAAAAAATCTCACTGAGGTAGTAGATTTGCATTATAAAAAAGATATAAATTCATTTTATTTTTAATTTGATTACTTTGCATAGCAATGTAGCTGCTCTCATTCTAGTCTCTTCCAAACCATTTGGATCCCAATCCGTTGAAAGTTCAAGTAAATTAGACAACATAGGAAATAAAACCTAAACAAAAAAAAACCAAACTACTTTTTTTTACCATCTTATTTTTTTGTTTTCACACTTGTAAATAAAGTATTTTTTGGCACAAATCACAATAAATCACAATAAGATTTATACTTTGATACTAAGTTTATGATTTTTTTTATGCATTTGTTTATAAGACATAAAAATTATAAGAAATAAAAAAATAAATAAAACCTGGTTAAAACAATTCTCCCACTCAGCAGCAGACAGTAGTTGGAGGTCATCTGCTAACATTGATCGTTGCAACACTGTTAAAGCAGTCATTCGAATACCACGTCGAGTATCACAACAAAGTCGAGCAATTCCTTGAAGGAGTGGACACCAGCACTTTACCCATAACAATGACATGGCATTATCGCTATCAGCTGTTCATACAACAAAAAACAAGGTTAAACTGATAATAAATTTTTTAAAAGTACCTAAAGTAAACAACTACCTTTAAAAGTACTGGGAAGTTGATCAATACTTTCTTTACTACTCCATCTGGCTTTTAGTTCAGCCTGTTGTTTGTCTTGATAATCATTCCACTGCATGTTTCCAAGTATACCTGAAGCATTTGTGTGTAAAGCATACATAAGATCAAGGAGCTGCAAAGAGATTGCATCATAAATATTACCAGTGTTTTCATTAAACTCAACTTCATCTTCTTTTTTAGGGGAATCAAATGCTTGATGTGACTTTTTGCTATCTCTTTTTGGCGATGACCCACGCTTGCCTTTTTGTTTAGGCTTTTCAGGAATGTGTCTAAGCTCTTTTTCAATTTCATTAATAACAGAGTCATCCAATCTATACTTTAAACCACCATTTGAGCTTGCTTCACCAAACAATAAAACTGCATAGATACATTGAAATATGTTATAGTCATTAACATGAGCCATATCTCTGACTATAAAACTAATAGAAGACGAAGCCTTAATAAAAACTTTACAATTGTGTTTGTTTAATTTTTCCTTAAACTTGAGTTCATATTGATTTATAGGTAGCCCTTCATCCTCATTTTTATTTATTAAAAGCCATTGTTCATTTTGATGTTTCATACTGTAGGTGTTTTCTTTTACATCAGCAACATAGCCTAATAATATTACTTCAGTAATACACAGCAAGAAAATATATATATATATATATATATATATATATATATATATATATATATATATATATATATATATATATATATATATGTATATATGTATATATGTATATATGTATATATGTATATATGTATATATGTATATATGTATATATGTATATATGTATATATGTATATATGTATATATGTATATATATATATATGTATATATGTATATATGTATATATGTATATATGTATATATGTATATATATATATATATATATATATATATATATATATATATATATATATATATATATATATATATATATATATATATATATGTATATATATATATATGTATATATGTATATATGTATATATGTATATATGTATATATGTATATATGTATATATGTATATATGTATATATTTATATATATATATATATATATATATATATATATATATATATATATATATATATATATAGACACACACACTAATGCGTGTTTAGATAAGCATATGCTTACTAGTTTTACTTGTCTTTATAGCATACAACTTTTTTAGTAAAAATAAAAAAACAAAAAAACAAATAGTGAAAGAAAAGATTGCTGCCCCACACCAAACCTTCAGTTGAATGTAGAGGCACTCCTCTGCGGCAGCAGACTATATACTGAATGATATATATGACTATATACAGACAATATACTGAAGTCTCCACCGACAGGCTATTTCAGTGTGATGTCACAGGGCTTATCTAAACACACACACACAGATATATATATATATATATATATATATATATATATATATATATATATATATATATATATATATATATATATATATATATATATACATATAAATATGGGTCAAATCATTATGTTTCAACCAATGGGCTGTGGGTCACCACCTCTGATTTTCCTGATATTTACATATTGTTATGAGCATTATGTAGATAGGTTAAATTTGAAATTTCAGACTTCCAAGTACAACGGTTCAGGAATTATAGCCTTAAAAACATGACACGGTGGCCCCCCTTGATTTACAAATGTTCAAAACAGACAACTTTAGAGCTGTATAACTTTTTTCTTATTTTCAACAAGTGTCTAATTTTTTCTAGATCTACTTTCTAGATAGTTCTCTCTTTAAAAAATTGGTTTTTATCAACTTGTATTAAATTAGAAAAAAAATATGACCTCCTTAACTTTGGAAAAAATCCTAAAATTGCTAAAATATGCCAAAATGAAACTAACAGTAGCATTATTCTATTCATCCACAAGTTTTTACAGATAAGTTTTCTGATTAGCTACTACTGTCTGCAATAAATGGGCAAAATATAGGCAGATTGTTGCAGTTTAAAACTCAAAGATAGCTAAAAGCAAAATGTCCACTCACGTAAAAAGTCCAAATTTCAGCCATTTTGAGATGCTTGTAAATTTTTCTAACACTTTGTCTTGATCTAAGATTAACATCATATAAGACCATTAGACCCAACTATCTGAAAATGCAAACATTATAAACTTGTCAAATCAGCACCAAAAATGCCAGCATTTTTAAATAACCCTATTTTTCAATTATCAACCAGTGCATGTGTTACTAGAAAACAGTACCCCACTAATCTGCCAACTGGCCTATGTGAAGGGTGCAACTAATTATAAGTCATTTTATAATAAAAAGAAAGCTATGGATGGTTGTCCTCTTCTTGATCTGGTCTTTATAGTAGATAGGGGCACAAATAAAGGGGGCGTTAACTTTTTAGATATCTTTATTTTGGTTCAAATGAAGGTCTCTAAATTAATTTAGATATTTAGATACTTAATGTCTAAATATCTAAATTAATTTTAACATGAAAGCATTATTTCTTTGAATTATTTTTTATTATAGGTAATCAGTGGTCTGTATGTGGTCTGGACCTGCCCACTCCCCTCCCCACTCACTAACTCCCCTCAAGGTGAGGGAAGGGGGTTTAGAGTGACACTAATCAAAGGTGGGGAGTGGGAGGTGTGCAACTAACTTTTAGAAATTTAATTAACCTTTGTTAATTCCCTAAGACCATAACATTCTATTTGCTGTATATAAAATCTGGCACACATTTTTGAGAGTAGCGATCAAAATTAAAAAAAAATGCAATAAAGATCTAATGGCCTTAACCGTATATTCATTAGAAAATGAATTAAGTATGTTCTATGTTAGAAAATGAATGCTTGTATCTTTGTAAGTTGGTTGCTCCCATTTACCCTTTAGTGAGTTAGTGAGTGGGGAGGGGGGTGGGCAGGTCCAGACCACATACAGACCACTGATTACCTATAATAAAAAATAATTCAAAGAAATAATGCTTTCATGTTAAAATTAATTTAGATATTTAGACATTAAGTATCTAAATATCTAAATTAATTTAGAGACCTTCATTTGAACCAAAATAAAGATATCTAAAAAGTTAACGCCCCCTTTATTTGTGCCCCTATCTACTATAAAGACCAGATCAAGAAGAGGACAACCATCCATAGCTTTCTTTTTATTATAAAATGACTTATAATTAGTTGCACCCTTCACATAGGCCAGTTGGCAGATTAGTGGGGTACTGTTTTCTAGTAACACATGCACTGGTTGATAATTGAAAAATAGGGTTATTTAAAAATGCTGGCATTTTTGGTGCTGATTTGACAAGTTTATAATGTTTGCATTTTCAGATAGTTGGGTCTAATGGTCTTATATGATGTTAATCTTAGATCAAGACAAAGTGTTAGAAAAATTTACAAGCATCTCAAAATGGCTGAAATTTGGACTTTTTACGTGAGTGGACATTTTGCTTTTAGCTATCTTTGAGTTTTAAACTGCAACAATCTGCCTATATTTTGCCCATTTATTGCAGACAGTAGTAGCTAATCAGAAAACTTATCTGTAAAAACTTGTGGATGAATAGAATAATGCTACTGTTAGTTTTATTTTGGCATATTTTAGCAATTTTAGGATTTTTTCCAAAGTTAAGGAGGTCATATTTTTTTTCTAATTTAATACAAGTTGATAAAAACCAATTTTTTAAAGAGAGAACTATCTAGAAAGTAGATCTAGAAAAAATTAGACACTTGTTGAAAATAAGAAAAAAGTTATACAGCTCTAAAGTTGTCTGTTTTGAACATTTGTAAATCAAGGGGGGCCACCGTGTCATGTTTCTAAGGCTATAATTCCTGAACCGTTGTACTTGGAAGTCTGAAATTTCAAATTTAACCTATCTACATAATGCTCATAACAATATGTAAATATCAGGAAAATCAGAGATGGTGACCCACAAAGTTTTCTTCAAATTGGTTGAAACATAATGATTTGACCCATATATATATATATATATATATATATATATATATATATATATATATATATATATATATATATATATATATATATATATATATATATATATATATATATATATATATATATATATATATATATATATATATATATATATATATATACACAGGGGTGGGACCGCAAAATGTGAACACTTTTCTGATTGTAATAATTAATTTTCTGTTAAATATGAACTATTTTAAATGTTCAATTTTTGTTTTTTTACATATTATATTTTACTTTGTTTACATATTCATTAGTACTTTGTCTTTCGTTTTTTATCAAATAAACTCAACTACATCTAACGAGAAAATAGTTATAATAAAACAAAAACGTTCACATTTTGCGGTCCCACCCCTGTATAAATATATATATATATATATATATATATATATATATATATATATATATATATATATATAATATATATATATAAATTTAAAAAAATTAACAGTAATTATTAACCTCTATCTATTTGCTCAATGCTATTACTGTAAAACTCTCCAGTTTCTGTATCAATTTTTTCTTCTTGTAAAACAGAGTAAATGTCTCCAGATACTAAAGTTAGACTTACACCTGGTTTAACAATAGGAGGAATTGCTCCTGCTCCCACAACCTGAAGTATTGTTAATATTGTAATCCAATCTCTTGAAAATCGCAAATTAACAGCATTAGTTCGCAATAACTCATGAAGGCCGTATGAAATTTGTTTAGAGCAGCTGAGCAAAACTTTAGGGTGCATCATGAGAAGAATCCGTAAAGTAATTAATATTTGAGATGAAATTTCATCACGACCCAAAAGTCTTATAGCTATTCGAAGTAAACCAACAACAGCTCTTTCTACTAAAAAACTGGGAAGAAAAAAAAAAAATAATAAAAAAAATAAAATGTTTTTATTATTATCTTTTATGTATTTAGTTTTTTTATAAAGAATCATGAATTCATATTTTTAATAAAACTAATTCTAATATTATTAACAAAGTTTTTTTGCTTTGTTTATTTCATAAATAAGTTTCAAATCATTATAGATGTATTCTAAAATTTGAGTTGCCAACCTGAATTGCAATTCCAATTAGTTATTAACTTATGATTCTTTAAATCATGCTAAGTCAACTGTTTAATGTTTGTATCAATCTCTTTGTCGATCCATAAGTTAACAAAAATTTAAAAAGTCACAATGTTTCCCTCATGTTAAAATTTATTTTTAGTTTATGACTTTTTTATTTTATTTAATTTTAGGACAAATTTTAATTATATATTAAAAAAAAAATTTGAAATGTTATTTTTACAATCTTACTATCAGTTATTAAACTTTTTATTAAATTTTTAATAAATTAACAAATAATCAAAAAAAAAAAAAAAAGGAATTTTTTTTTCTTAAAATTTAAAATTTAAAAAAAGATTAAAAAATATTGACAAAAAGAAACTTTTACACCAATTGAAGATATGTATAATTTTATACATTTAAATTTTCATTATGAAAATAAAGTCGTACCTCACTTTTGGGGCACTTATGATTATATTGGATAAATGTTCTCGAAGAGCATGCCACAACAATGATATGCGATCTCTATTTTAAAAGTACTGAACAATGAGAAATTTAATATTAAACAAAATTTTTGTTTTAAAAATATATTAATTTTTATTAGTAATAATGAAGACCCTGTAGAGGAAATAGCCAAGTTAGGTATGAAGTAGCCAATAAAAATCTGCAATACAAAGCAGTAAAAGTTAGGTATGAAGTAGCCAATAAAAATACAAAGCAGTAAAAGACTGCAGTATAAGACTATACTTTAAAAAAATTACATTGCATAGTTTAAAACCAAATACTTTATGAAAATAATTTTCATACTTGTTCTGTAAAGCAACTTTTATTAAAAACTCAAGAAAAAAGACAGCAGCATCCTCATCATAAGGGACATCAGTAGATTCATATAAGTGCAAGGGTTTTGATGCAATTATCAGACTCTGAAATAAAAAACACAAGTAAAAAAAAGTCAATTCTGAAAATTTGGAATTTACCTAACAGTTTAAATTACATACCTTAACAAGTTCTTGCAAAGACTCCGGTCTTAAAAATTTACTTTCTGTTATTATATTTTCAGGGTGACACTCCTAAAAAAAAGAGGCGCTCAACCTATATTTATCAACTATATTTAAAAAAAGAGGCTCTCAACCTATATTAAAAAAAAATTTAGGCAAACATGCAGAATCTAAAGATCAACTTTTACACTGAAATTCAAGACTCCGGATTTCTATGTAAAAAGTTCTTTATCATTTATATTCATAATAATGATTATAAACAATGAATTATTTGTCACTAAACAATATGTCCTATAGATGAGATATGTTGCTTACAACATCTTACATATATTAAGGTAATAGAAGCTGAATGGTGCTTTCAACATCTGACATGTGTAAATACAGCACTTATGTTGCTGTGTAAGCACTGTAGGTAATTGTATAATGTATTTCCCATAGGAGTATGCATTGAAAAAGTTATCCAACATATAGATATAACACTTCCTAATATTGATAGTTACCATTTGAAAAACTATTTTAATGTTTTATTAATATTTAAATGATTAAATATTAAATCTCAAGGATTAAATGATTAATCCTTGAGATTGTTGGAAAATCTGAAAAGAGTGAATAAATAGAATGATTGAATGAATCCATTCTGATGTTTTGAACTCCTTAAAGTTCTAAGCATCATTAATAACATAGTGATCATTTCAGAGAGAATACCTAATAACATAAGAAACCTTAAATAAAAAACTCATTTGTTAATTAAAGAATACCTTTATACAATTCAGTGCAGCTTCTTGTGATTGTCGATCTTCTACAGACAAAACAGATTTTCCAGGAGTGTCTGGATTTGCAACCATGTAGGAATAAAAAGCTGCAAAAACACCAGTATTGTCCTGCCTAATATTAGTAATAATGACAAACAAAACAGTGAATGTGCAAACAATAAAAATTTATTCTAACAAAAAATTCAAACACTAACTTTGCGACTGGTTGCACTTCTTCTTTTATCAGGCTAATTTTTCCACTTTGTTCTACAAAATCTTCAACCTTTTAGTAAAAGTATGTCAATATCAAAATTATCAGGCTATTTTTTTTTTCTCAATCAGGCTATTCTGCTTTATTCTACAATAAAATCTTCAATTATTTATGCTACAATAAAATCTTTAATTTTTTATTCTACAATAATGATCAAAATTCTCATATTATGTGACATTTTTTTAACCAAACTTTTTTATATTTAGTTAAAACTAAAACAACCACATTCATAAAAAAATCATATTGTCAAACATCTTTCTAAAATTAGAAAGATGTTTGACAATATGATTTTTTTATGAATATGGTTATTGAGAAACTTATAAAGAAAAAAACTTGTAACATAAAATTTTTTTTTGTTACTGCACATTATTTAAAAACATTTAATAAGAAATATACATGGGATGAAAAACTACTTGTAAATCTGCAAGCATATACTACCAAAACTCTAGCAAAAGCAAACCCTACTTCCTAATGGTAATTGATAAATTAAAAATTGGAAAAATAAACATATTAAATATTTATAACTAAAATTTTTTAATTCAAATTGAATGCTGTTTGGTTAAATTAAATGTTAAATGTAAACAAGTACACAACTTACCTCAGTAAGTGAAGGTGGTAATAATTTTCCTTTGAACAGCTGCATAAGACACACCAATAAATTTTGCCAGCCTTCTCTAAGCATATCGCCTTGCTTATGAGCAAGAACAAAAACAGTTCTCATGCTCAGTTGTGATTTAAGGTTATTTCCAAACACAACAGAAAGATTGTCATTAAGCTAGAAACAACAACAAAAAATAACTATAACAACAACAACAACAACAAAATTACTATAACAACAACAACAAATACAACAAATTACTATAAACATAGAATATTAAAGAAATTTAAACAAAGTTTAATAATTTTTTTCAATTAATGTTTAATCTAATGATTGCAGTTAACAAAAGTATAAGACTATACTTTAAAAAAAGGTAACAAAAGGTAGATTTTAAGATCATTCATTAGACCAGTGGATTTTAAGACCATTCATCAAACCAGTGGATTTTAAAATCATTCATCAAACCAGTGGATTTCAAAATCATTCATTAGACCAGTGGATTTTAAGATCATTCATCAGGATTGAATATAATTAATATAGTAAAAAGCAAAGTGATACAAGTACAAGAAAGAAAATTATACAAAGTGCTACAAGTACAAGTTTAAGAAAATTATACACCAAAATAAAAATTTATTACCTGACCAGTCACAAGGAGACTTGTAAATTTACAAAGCGATATAAGAAGATTATCAAACACATCTGACAGTTCATAATGAGCAGAGATCACAGCACACTTCCTAAATTACAAAGTAATGTAAAAAAAAATTATCAAACACATTATATATATATATATATGTATATATATATATATATATATATATATATATATATATATGTATGTATGTATATATATATATATATATATATATATATATATATATATATATATATATATATATATATATATATATATATATATATATATATATATATATATATATATATATATATATATATATATATATATATATATATTGTGATCGTCGTAATAGCATAAAATGAGCAATTAATTTAAAAAATAACATGTTTTTTGATCTTGACATGTTTCGTAAAATTTATTTACATTTTCAAAAGATTATTTTACAATAATAAAACTCTGAAATAAATATTAAAAAATAGAAGTCTTTACAGAAAAATAATAACGGACAAAAACTTTTTTTCAAAAAATTTTTGTATAAATTTAATATTTATTTCAGAGTTTTATTATTGTAAAATAATCTTTTGAAAATGTAAATAAATTTTATGAAACATGTTAAGAATAAAAAACATTGAGTAATTTTTAAAAATAATTAAATATATTAAATTAAATACTCTAAAAAAACCCAGTTGCTTACTGCAAACAACTACCGTAATATGGTCAACATTCCTATATTAATGAATGGCAATCCTCTTACTGAATCCTTCTCTTTACGTCTTCTTGGATTATCCCTTACTACTGACCTTTCATGAAAACCATATATACAATCGATTGCTAAATTAGCTTCTGCTAAGGTTGCTTCTCTTTATCGTGCTCGCCATTTTCTTACTTCTGATTCCATTCTCTACCTCTACAAATCTCTTATTCATCCCTGTATGGAATACTGTTGTCATATTTGGGCTGGTTCTTCTAACGATTCACTTTCTCTTCTTGACAAGGTCCAAAAACGCATTGTAAATGTTGTTGGACCTGGACTATCTGCTAAGCTTGAACCTCTTTCCCATCGTCGTAAAGTTGCATCTCTTTCTCTTTTCTACAAATACTATCATGGTCACTGCTCAAAGGAGTTATCATCTCTAGTTCCATCAACTAAAATTCATTCTCGTTTTACTCGTCATTCAGCTAAGTCTCATTCGTTTACTGTATCTGTCCCTGCATGCTCTAAAAACTTTTATTCATCTAGTTTTTTTCCCCGCACTTCAATCCTTTGGAACTCTCTCCCATCTTCATGTTTTCCTGACTCATACAACCTTCAACTTTTCAAGTCTTCTGTCAACCGTTTCCTTGCTCTATAACTCTGTTCTTTTTTTTTTTCTAGTAACTCCCAACTTAATAGTGGTTGCTTGCTGCCTTGTTGGGAGTGAATGCAAATAAAATATATATATATATATATATATATATATATATTTACACTTATAAATATACTTATATATATAAACTTATCTATAAGTTTATGGAATGTTTTGCATTTTTCTAAGCACAAAAAAGTAACTATAAGTATAGATATACAAAAATACATATAAACAAGTAAATCCAAATATTTTATCTTACTTAAATCCTGCAAGAGCTTTCTGAATATGTACTTTGTCACTTCCATTATCATATATATATGATAAAGCAGCAACTGTAGGACCCCAAACAACTAGAAATAATTCCTCGTCATAAAGAGCTGATTTAACTTGGAGATAATGTGAATCAGGGCCTTCACATTTTTGCATTAACACCTGTAGCAAATAAATAAAAAGTAATAACTATATATATATATATATATATATATATATATATATATATATATATATATATATATATATATATATATATATATATATATATATATATATATATATATATATATATATATATATATATATATATATACATACATACATACATACATACATACATATATATATATATATATATGTACATACATATATATATATATATATACATATATATATATATATATATATATATATATATATATATATGTATGTATGTATATATATATATATATATATATATATATATATATATATATATATATATATGTATGTATATATATATATATATATATATATATATATATATATATATATATATATACATACAATACATACATATATATACATATATATACATACATATATATATATATACAATATATATATACAATACATACATATATATACATATATATATATATATACATACATATATATACAATACATACATATATATACATATATATATATATATATATATATATATATATATATAATATATATATATATATATATATATATATATATATATATATATATATATATATATATATATATATATATATATATATATATAACGCAAATTGAAAAATTTAAAGTCCAAAAAATCAAGGTCAGTATTTGGCAATGTTGACGCAAAAGCTGATCGGTTTTTGCTTTACTAAAACATGTTTATACATGCAAACATACATATGTAACTTTATATATACAAACATATATATGTGACTGTCACACTGATATAGCCTGCTGCTGGTAGTTTCAGTACATACTTAGACTATATTATAGCCTGCTGCTGCAAAAGAATGCCTAATCAACATATATACCAGGCTTTAACAGGAAGGCGTGCAATTTCACGTCTTTATATGACCATGCAAGTTACATTTTGCTATGAGGGTTTTACTGCGGCTAAATCAAAAAACATTTTAAAAATGCGCTAAATAAAAAATATTCTAAAAAAGTAAAATTAATTACATCAAAACTTCTTAACAAATGTTTTTATATTAGCAAAACAATTTTAAATAAAGTAACAATTTACTGAAAAAAGGTTTTGTTTTTTAAATATAACTGACAGTTGTATATATATTTTTAATTTAAAACATATAAACTGTTTAAGTGTTTATTTCTAAAATAAACACTATTAAAAAATAATTTTTTTTTTTTTTTATAAACGGTGATATTCTACGACTACGAAAGTCTCTTTAACAAATTTTAATATAAGAATGATTAAAGTTAATGCATTTAAAAAGATAAACAAAATTTCGTTAAAAAAAAAAATTTTAGAAAGCCGTTACAATTTAATAAGTTTGATCTTAAATGCTTTTATATTATTGAAACGCTTTTAATGAAGTAAAAAAAAACACTTCTAATTAATTTTAAAAAAAGTATTAATAAAATGTTTTTTTATTTTATTTATATAATTATGTATTATTTTTTTATGAGAAATGTTTAACTTTTGAACATATTAAATAATTAAAAATAAATACAAATGTTGGAGCAAAGATTGAAATGGTTTTTTAATACGTAAATTAAATAGACTAAGCATTTTAGTTTGATGAGTTTTGTTTTAGTTGCGTTATATATATATATTTTTTTTTGTGCTTTAACTAAGTATTTTTTTTATTTTCTCTTAAGATTTTTTTTTTTTTACAATTTTTTTTTCAGATAAGTTTAGGTAAGTTTTTGTAGCGCATTTTTAAATTTAGAAAATATGCCATGGTCAAATCCTTAAAACATATTATTTTTTGCGTGGTCATGTAAAAATGTGAAATCGCATGCCTTCCTGTGAAAGCCTGTATACATATCTACCTCATAGGCTTTACTTTTACATCACTTTTTTAATTATATAATTGTATTTCTTTGTACATTAGTAAACGCACATTTAGCTTTTAGGATAAGGCATTTACTTTGTACACAGAATGTCTGTGGTTTGAATCCCACCACTATCCAATTTTTTATTGTCTTTCTTTTGAATATTTCAAAATGTTGCTCATATATTTGTTTTTTGTTTTGTTTTTTTGTATATAAAAAATCTTTCTGTTGTATATTTTTGAATGATACACAGCTCTTCACATTCCGATTTCTTATACCATTTGAGCCTCTCAGTGTATTTTCTAAGTAAGGCGCACGCAAATATATACATAATTTTTATACTTCAATTATGCCATGTCGTCTACACATTTTTCACATATCCTTAATTGTTTCGTATTACCTTTCTTTTCCTGTACATTTTTTATCTTTCAGCACTTAATAATTTTATAATACCTGTTGCTTTTTAACATTCAGATCGTGTATACAGCTTTTAGTGCGCTTAGTTCTACGCACCCCTATTTGGTCTAATATGTTAATACATTTTTTTTCTATTTAAATTTATTTTAAAATCCTATTTAGTTAGTTTTACTTTCTTTGTTTTTGAGACACTTAATATAATAAACCTTGCAAACAGCCATAATCAAGTTGTCTAAAATTTTGCACGGACATACAAGAAGAAAAACTACACAAGTCTCCTGAGAAGGCTTGCATTGTATAAATTAATGTAACAAAAGTAGAGTAACAATTTGTTATATAAACATTCTATAGTATATATATATATATATACACACACACACACACACACACACACACACACACACACACACACACACACACACACAAATATATTTAATACCTTCCACTCATATGCTTCCTTTACTTTACCAATTCGTTCTGAAGGCATAACAATTTCATTCGTTCTAAACAAAAAACATTCAAGGGATAAAAATTTATTATTATATTTAAATATTATTATTATATTATTATGTTATTAAATTTATTTAACATAAAAAAAACTTTAAAAGTAACAATCAAAAAACTGAAATGATCAGATTTTTAACTAACCTTATGTTTTCAAAAATTTCTTCTAATAACTCTGCTGGAAAATCTTCTCCGCCATTTGTTTTACGAAGATTTCTTTTAAAATCCTTAAAAAAGTGATTGTTACATTTTATGCATACATACATGCATACATACATACATACATACATACATACATACATACATACATACATACATATACATATATATATATATATATATATATATATATATATATATATATATATATATATATATATATATATATATATATATATATATATATATATATATAATATATTTATATGTTTTAACACTTTGTACGGGCTCTTAAAACATTTAGAATTGCCATATTCTTTGTAGCATTGAGAAAACAAAAGGCTTACAACATTCATGCATAATTTTAAGACACCATGCTTCTTTATAGCTTTTCTCAGACCTGCTAGCAAGTTTATGTTCAAAAAATTTTTGTTTTCGATTTTACCTAACAACTTTTGATGGGGTTTTAATTGAGTAAATGCAATTCAAAATCAGACATCTATACTTGAAGACGCCTCAAGAAATGTGTATCTAAGATGAAAGAGTAGATAAAAATCTAATTTCTACAGTGCCATCTTTTGAATGCATTATAAATGAGTTTAAATTTGTAAAATTATGGCCTTTGTAACATATGGAAACAGATAGTATTGAAGGATAGTAGTTAATAGTATTGAAGCCATGTTGAAAAGCAAAGTAAGAAATTTGATCAAAAATAGACATCAATAATGTCTGTGAAGAACATGAAAGAATTTCAGGATGCATGCAATGGGCTCAAAAGTGAAGCGAGACTTATTGAATCTAATTATTCATCAAGTCTCACTTATTGAATAAGTAGATTGCAACCCAAAAAAATGGTTTTAAAATTTTTTGAAGGATTCAAAAATATCAAAAATATTTCTAAATAGTACAATTTTATTGATAATGCAGGCAAATTGGAAAAAAAGACTAGTAAAGTAATTTTAAAACATTTTCTTTTCTTTATGCAATTATTTGTGTAATTAAAAAAAAAAAATTCTGAAAACATTTTTTGAACTAATAAAATTTACTTGAACAGCAATATTCAATTCATATAAAAACTCATCAAATACATGAGGACAAATACACGATACAACTTTCTTTAAGTTTTAACTTTGTCTTTTGCAGTTTGAGATATAGACACAGTTTAAAAGTAAAAAAATTTACAAGTAGTTATATTTCATTTCTTATACTGCCATCAGATTAGTATCATATAAAGAAAATATAAAGGATGAGATCAAACAAAGACATTTAAGACAGTTCAAAAAAAGTTTTGCCACAAGATGTTTGAAACTATTTATGCATAACGGTGTTTTGATACTGTGCATATGAATGTATCGTGAAAAAATGTCTATGTTGGTGTATAATAAGATAGTCGTTGGTCATTAGCCAATCCTATAAGGCTACACTGCCATCAATGCTATAAGGTTTAATCATCAAATGTTAATCTCTATTACATTTAACACAAAACATAAAATATACAGTCGCTTTCTAACATGCATATGTTAGAAAGCGACTGTATAAAAATAAAAAAAGATAAAATGTGAAGAGATAAAAATCTTTTTAAATAATGACTAATAGTAATTGTTAATTTCTTTTTTTTTTTCAATTCAGTTTTCAATACATTGAACATTCATAATTTAAAATTTTAAAAGCAGTTAATTGCATAATTATTAAACATAACAAAAAACATTTTTAAGCATTAAAAATTAAAAAAATAGGCACTTAAAGAAATTATTTACATCAAGGTTCATAGATTTTTGCTGCTTTACATTTTTGTTGTGTTGATCAACATTCAACATGATGACAGCATAAGCCATAGTGAATGCAGCATCTGTATTCTTGTATGGGACAGGATTATTATTCTAGAAAAACACAATATGTTTAAAAAAATGTACTTTTTCAAATATAAAATACTAAAATTATAAATAACATAAGAAATAAACAAAACTTGACATACAAAATAAACTGAAGAAAACTCTTCCAATATCAAAGATATGACTGGACTTTCACCAGGAAGTCGAAAAGATTCCAAAAAATTTCGAAGAGCCTCATCAATACGCAGATTTTTCATTGCAAATGATCTAGAATTTATTACCCCAAGCATATATAAAAATAATAAAAATCACTTCATTTTTTTATTTAAGTTATTAGGCTGACAACAGTTAAACAAAGTCTTTTATGAAATCATAGCTCCAATAAGAAAAATAAATATAAATTTTGGATTAAAATGAAATAATATCAAGTAAATTAAAATGACTTATTTAATTATTGAACCAAAATTAAACAAGATGTCAAACTTCTTTATTATAAAAGTTTTAGTAACTAATCACTACAATAAAATTGTATTACAAATCTATTCAACTTTTAAACATTGAATTGAATTAATTCTTCATCATTAAATTGAATCAGCTCATCAATTATCAGCTAATCAACGATTAAATTTAATAAACTCATCACCATTAAATTGAATCAGCTCTCAGCACTCAAGTTTAATCAACTCACAACCATCAAATTTAACTATCTGCCTATCAAATTAGCTCACAATCATCAAATTGAATCAACTTTCTTACCATGTGTCATCAGTTAACCAACTATTAAATTGAATAAACTCATCACCATTAAATTGAATCAGCTCTCAGCACTTAAGTTGAATTAAGTCACAACCATCAAATTGAATCAACTCATCACCATCAAGCTAAACCAACTCTTTGCTCTTGTATTGAATCAGCTCACAGCCATCAAATCAAACTCGCTATTATTTGATAGTTATTAAATAAATATTTACTGCATCTTTTTTCAATCATACAAAACTCAATTCAGGTTTTTTCTTAATATTTCAGTTTAATTACAGGTGTGAGTATTACAATTTCAAAAGACCTGCATTAAAGTTTTTATAAAAAAATCATCATAAAGGTTTTTGATCATTTTTTAATAATAAAAATAAGTAAAAATTGTTATTTGATTATTTACTAAAAATAAATTTAACTAACAGGTCAAAATACATATTTTTAGCTAAGAGATAAACAATAGTTACCCAACAAATGCTTTAAGATATTCAGCATTTTTACGAGTACCAATAAAATCCCCAAGTGTTTTCTTGTCCACGCGAGGATTTTCTTTCAAATAAACAATTAAATCTTGTGGAAGAAAATTAGCTGAAAGTAAACCATGCTCCTGCAAATAATCTATACCACTTTTTGGCTTTTTATTAAATTCATCAATACCATGTGACAACAACTAAATTTAATGTAAGAACACAATTTAAAATTTGTAAATAATATATATTAAAGTAAATGTTATCTTGCTGTATCAATAGCTTAACAACTTTATTTTATTATCTGCTTACTATCTATTATTATATAATTTTCAAAAAATGATTATGGTCATTTTTGACAAAAAAAAGAATTAGACATGGAATTGTTGTTGGTATGGTTGGTAATGATGCTGATAATATTGCAAGTGGTGGATATATAGATAATTTATGCAGAAAATAAACAGTAATAATTAATAAAAGAAATAAAATAAGATTTTGAAGCCTGATAAAAAAAAGTAATAACAATAAACGAGGAGCCAATTTTCAAAACACCATAAGTCCCAATAAATTGATTTTAAGAAAACTACAAAAAACTGAACAACTCTTAATAGATAAGTTTTTAATTTTTTACTAAATTAACAGAATTTAAAATTCTGTTGATTCTTTTTTAGGACAAAAAAACTTAATCATAAAATCTGTAAATTTAATAAATCAAAAAGTTATGCATTTAGAATCAGTTTTTTCCAAGAGAATCTCTGTTTGATATCTCAAATCTTTTAAACTTTTTAAATTTTTTAAGTTACAAAACATATTTATGTTTGGCAAAAATTGTTTACTTGTTTTACAAAGTGCCTTTAGTAGATGCTAATTTAAAAAAATTATGACACCATTATTTATATTTTAGAAAATATTATACTTTTAGCAATCATCCTTTTTTCACAAGTTACTTTTTAAATGAAATCTAAATATCAAATTAGATAAGAACCAAAACATCATTGAATTACATTACTAACGAATGAAATCGTTATGCCTTTTTCAAATTTATACAAAAACTAAAAACTTTAAGGTCAATTTAGTTAAAAAAAAAATTTTTTTAAAAGGGTTCCCTGACCAAAAGGCAAGTATAACCATTCATTTCTCTAAATCAAGTATTTATTTATGTTTTCTTGAAGATTTGATGCTTAGGAATTTTGTTTTAAAATTATGTAAATATGCACTTTTTTTTCGCGTATTTTATGATGTTTTTTGTTTTGGTGTTTGCGTTTGTTTATTAAATTATAAATAAATTTTTGCGTTAGCTTTATGAAATTTGATGATGCTTTTTTTTTCACTTAATTAGAAACTTAAATAGAGCTAAATAGGACAGTTTACTTTATGAAAATAATATAACTGCTTGAAATGGTATAAAAATCTTTGTTGTTTCCATCATTGATGAAAGAACAAGATTTTTATATCATTTAATAATTTTTATTAAAAATTATTTCTTATTCACACCCTTAAATTATTTTTTATTCACATCCTTAAATTAAGGCTTAATAAGGATGTGAATAAGAAATAATCCTTATTAAGGCTTAATAAGCCCTAATTTAAGAATGTGAATAAGAAATAATTTAAGGGATGTAAAATAAGAAATTTGTGGAACCAAATAAGCAGACTCTTAAAGTCTTATATGTGACATTTATCCGCCCATTAATTGAATTTGCGGTTCCAGTGTAGTCTCCTCAGCTTAAAGGAGAAATAGAAATGCTTGAGAAAGTTCAACACAGGGTTACAAGACTCAATCCGACTCTGACAAAATGAAATACATGAAAAGACTGGAGATTCGTAGCCTCACCCCATTATATGAACGCAGAAATCGTGGAGATTTGATCCAGACTTATAAATTATTAAACAAGATTGAAAATGTGGACTTTATAAACGTTTTCAAGCCAAATGATTTTCAATTATCGAGAGAAAACGGTGTCAGGTTTGAACGCAAAAAAATAAAAGGCAACTTAAGACACTCATTCTTTACTAACAGAATAACAAAAATATGGAATAAACTACCAAGAGAAGTGGTTAATGCAAAATCAGTAGTAGGGAGATTCTATTTATATATTCTATTTGAGTTTCAAAAAGACAATCATCAAAATGACTTGATAAAGACTTGTCTACAATAGAAGTTTAAATAACAGAGCTTGAAAAAACATCATTAGTAGTTTTCAAATTTAAATCAGAAAATAAACTTTTAGAAGCAGAAACATCTTCTTAAACAAATTCTCTAGAATTTGTTCCAGAAGATATTTGGGTAGAAGGATAAAACAATTAACAGAAGGTAGCAAATCATAAACATTGTTAAATTATGCAAGATTGACTTTTTATTTTAACTATCTGTATTTCCAACAAGGCTAGAAGCAACCACTTTTAGATTTGGTAGTCACTGGAAGACCCAAGATGAAAATTATAAAGCAAAGTAAGGATTAACAAACAACTAAAAAGATTGCAAATTATATGAATCAGGAAAACAAGACAAATGGAGAGTATTATAAAAAACTGATGTCCTAGGAAAAAAGCTAGACAAATAGATTTTTTAGAGTACCTAGGAGCAATAAAATACTATATTATTGTATACAAATATTAAGTTAGCAATGATTTGTAAATAAAGTTTCCATGAGAGGTCAGTATAAAAAGATAATCAAAGACAATGTAAAGTAGAAGGCACAGTAAAAATGTTGCCATTTGTCAATATAGGAATATCAACAAAGTCTTTAAAAAGATGAACATGACTTGACATGGCCGAATCTGTCAGAATTCTTTACAAATTACTTTAAATACCCTATAACTAAAGTAATGCTTGCTAAGTCCCTTAAAAATCAAGCATGTTTAGAGTTGGTAGTTACTGGAAGACCCAAGATGAAGATTGTAAAGCAAGGTAATGATTTCCAGATGACTTGAAAGATTGCAAATTATATGAATTAGGAAAACAATATGAATGAAGGGTATTACAAAAAACTGATGTTCTAGGAAAAAAACTAGATAAATGAGAATTTTTGGAGCACCTCGGAACAATAAAATACTATATTGTTATATACTAACTTAGCAATGATTTGAATATAAGGTTTCCATAAGAGGTCAGTACGAAAAGATAGTCAGAGACAATGTAAAGTAGAAGACACAGTAAAAATTTTAAAGACTTTACCAGACACACCATATCATCCAGAGCAATAAAAGGTGCCTCACCGCCTCTATGTAATTATAATTTCAAACCTTTCTGTAACGACAGTTAACAGGTCAGCTCCAAATCAAGATGATTCAAATCCAAATGTTTCTTAAGTTATTGATAAATAGAGCCACCTGTGAGCTTTTCAGGATGATCATTAATGTTGGTTAAAAACGGTAAAAGGCTGAGGATAAAAGTTAACATTGTTAGCTAAGTATCGATACTTCTGTGAATTTGCAGCGTTAAGTGCCACAAGGTCTGTATGTTGTGATTGTGATGTTATTGTTGTGATGTTTTGTGTTGATAGACAACTTGGCTTACCTTCTCGCTGGTGTCTATTGTTAAAAATGATTATTTCGTTGTTTCATTACTGAAACTTGCTACTTCTAATCATTCACTAAAAGCCAAGAGATAAGTTATATATTTTCATGTTTTTTATCTTAGGTGTTGTTAATAGTTCACATATACATTCTCAAAGAGTAAGTTTCTTATTTTATATTTATTTAGTTTTAATTGTTAATTGATAATTTTTTTTTTTAATTTAATTTTTAAAACGAATTAACAAATATATTTTAAAAATTATTGTGTATCTGTGTTTTTAATAATAATTTTATTACACTTTTAGGTTGAGTTTCTGCTGTTACACCTGCTATTGCTGATGTAAGTACTAAAAATTTCAGGAAGTTCAATTGCTGTAAGTTATTTTCATTTAAATTTAAATTATAACTTTATTTATGAATCTTCTGTCTGTTAAATAGGTAATTCTGAATGTTTCAGATAGATTTCAATACCCTTACGCAGTGATTTACTAATCGGTCTGCAAATTAAGCAATAGTTTTAAACAGATTAATTAATTTGATTCTACGATTCTTTATGCATATTTGCATGGAGTTTTTATAATATAACTCGAAATGTTATTCTCCAAGACTAAGTAAATAAGTAAAAACGCTTCAGTCTGTAAAATTAACGATTTTAGATAATCCCGACAAATGTAAAAAAAAATTATGGCATTTAATTTTCTTATATTTTTGTATCCCTATCGAAAATTTCAAGTCAAACATAATAACAGTTGGAAATTATGAAATATATTCAAAGTCAAATTGCCCAATTGGTTTGTGCAACCCTTTTGCAGTAATTTTTTGTAATAATTATGCAGTACTTTTCAGATTCTATGATTCCTTTATGCATATTTGCACATTTGGTTTTTTTTTTGCATATTTGCAATTGCATTTGCATATTTGCACATTTGGTAAACCTAATTTTTGTTCTTCATTACATAATTAAATAAGTAAAAAAACTTCAGTCTGTAAATTAAACAATTCTGTGAGATCCCGACAGATTTAATAAAAAATGGATCACTATTTAAAATTTAAAATCAAATGTAGTAGCGGTTCAAAAATATTGAATGTATTGAAAGTCGATATGCCCAATTAGTTCGTAGATCCCTTTTTCTGTAATTTACTGATCTGTCTGTAACTTATGCAGTAATTTCACTGACAGGTCTGTAAATTAGGCAATAGTTTTCAAATGATGTACTTTTCAGATTCCATGATTCTTTTATGCCTATTTGCATAGTGTAACCCTATTTTTTCCTCATAGCATAATTAAATAAATAGAAACCCTTCAGTCTGTAAAATAAACGATTCTGGATAATCCCGACAGATTTATTAAAAACTGGATCACTATTTAAAAACTCAAGTCAAATGTAATAACGGTTCAAAAATATCACAAATTTTAAAAAAATATCAAACTATTTAAATTTGATATGTTCAGTTTGTTTGTACAGCCCATTTTCAGCTATTTACTGACTGATCTATAATTTATGCGATTGTTTCACTGGCCGGTATGTAAATTATGCAATAGTTTTTAAAAAATTATTAAAAAGTCAGTATGGTCTCAAAAATTAGTAAAAAATCGCAGTCTGTAAAATAGGTGATTCTGGACAATCCCAACAGACTTTTAAAAAAAATTTTAGAATTTTTTTCTTCTTATAGTTGGTTTAGTCACTATGGAAAATTTCACGTCAAATGTATTAATAGCTCAAAAGTTATATAAAAGTCAGTATGACCCCAAAAAAATATAAATTAGTAAAAACAATTCTGGTCATTCCCGACAGATTTAAAAACAAAAAATTTGGAATTTTATTTTTTTATAGTTGGTGGGTCACTATGGAAAATATCAAGTCAAAAGTATTAACGGTTCAAAAGTTATTCAAAAGTCAATAATACTATCATTTTCAGTGCCATAATACAGCAAATTTTCTATACTTTTTATAGCCCTATACTTTTTGTCAAAAAATCATCAATTTTTTCACTACAAAAAGCTCGATAACTTTTGATTAACTTCAAAGGCCGAATGACCCCTCATTTTTTAAGTTAAGCCAGGCTCTATACAATGACATCAATTATATTTGAATATTTGAATTTAAAAAAACTCGTCTGGAATGGACGTGGTTGCTTCCAGCCTTGTTGGAAATACAGATAGTTAAAATAAAAAGTCAATCTTGCATAATTTAACTAAGAAATTAGAATCACAGTATGCATAGAGTATATTACATATATGCGTATTTTTTTCTTATTAATAATATTTGTTGGCAAAAAAAAAACAACTTAGCTATCAAAAGTTGATTTTTCTATTACAGTAGTTTCCAGTGTCTTTCCAGTGATACCCAGTAGTATTGTATGTACAGTATAACTATTTATAGTATTGTTTTACAAACTTAAGAAGCATAGATATTTATGCATTTCTAGTTTTAATGACATTTTTTATACAAGCGTTTAACAATATTTAAACTTATCTTTTATTATGACTATAAATGTCAAAGATTTAATTATTTTTTGCTATTGCTCCTGTGTTCTAGCATCTTTTTTTTTCAGGTTCATAATATATACAAAAAGAAAAAATGGTTTTATTAGTTGTTAAAAAAAACTGAGAAATCCATCAACACTAAACTGCATGAGTATGTTGGATATCATTGAAAGTTACTCCAAACTGAATTTCCAACATTATGTGATTGCTTGTAGCAATTTCTAGATATGCAACATAACAAAATGCTCATTTAAGAAAAAACATTTACATAAAACTTATCACAAAAAGAAATTTTTTCAACATGTTGCTTATGAAATTGCAGAATGATAATACATGTTGTGGTACAAAAGCTATAGGACTAAGACTTAGTAGGAGTATTCAATATTGTCAAAGTATAATATTAATATTAGAAAAATAAAAGAATTATGTTATGTGGAAGAATAAAAGAATTATGTTATGTGGTATATATATATATATATATATATATATATATATATATATATATATATATATATATATAAAACTATATATATATATATATATATATATATATATATAATATAAAACTTGATATTGTTTTGCAATTGACATGCTTTTCACATGTAATAATCTGACAAAGCTAAGATTTATTGCCCATGGGCAATAGGTAACAACCAAAGTTGTTGTTTTTTTTTAAATAAAAATAAATGTGGTGGGTTATATTTAGTATAATGTAGTACAATGTGATAATATAAACTATAAATATAATGCAAAACATATATTAACAAAAAAAAAACATTACTTTTTTCCTAATTTTTTTAGCAGAAATTTCTTCTCGAGAAGGTAGATTGCTAGAAAAACTATCAGTCTTGTAATCCTTGCTTGGAACACTAGAATTACCAAGAAATCGTTGACCAGTTGCATAACCTGATGTGGAGAGAGCAGTGCATCCTATACTATGATCAACATCATCAACTTCTGATTCATATTCCACTATCAATTGAATACACATAAAATTTAAAATATATAACATACATTTTTTTAATAATAAATTTCATCATTCAATAGATTTACATAACTTCTGCAAATTGATGTAAAAAAATAAAAATAAAAAAAAGAAGTATTTTATCATAATAAAAGTATATTTTTATTTATTTGTGATGACTTTTCTGTTTACTTTAAAATCATATTTACTTTAGATTTCATGTTGTTAAATTAAAAAGTTTCAGAGTTTTATTTTCTCTTTATTAAAAAATAATGTCCATAAAAAATGGTTGATTAAAAAAAAAACTTTATTCGATTCAGTCCTCCCTACAGTATGGATCATAGATCTTATGCCATCTATAGATACCATCCCAAAAAGTAAAAAAAGATTTAAAAAAGTTGTATACAAAGTAGTTTTTAAATCAAATCCTAAATTAAGAACATACTTAACATGTAAAAACAAACCTAAATGAAAGTAAAGGCTTTGTATATCAGAAAAATAAAACTGGCAAATCTCCAATTTACTTGTAATAATAATTTTGTTTGCAAAATAATAATATAGATACAATTAAATTTACATTTAATTGTAATCTATATTATTGTTTTGTAAACAAAAAATAGTATACATTAAAAAATAGTATACGTTAGTAATGTTATCAAAAAATAAATTAAGTTTAAAGCAAAATCACGCATGGAACTGAAAAATGTAAATTTTAGTAGATAAATAAACTTTAATTCCTCAGAAAATATAAGTTAGCAGTATACTTTTTTTTTTAAATAACATTTTAGATATTAGTAAAGATTTCCAGAAAGTTACAGGATAGTATTATATATCATCGAGTGACAGCAATCATTTAAATGTAATTCATGAATCATTACTCACGAAAGATACACACAGAAGTTGCAAACTTGTTGATTTAATGTAGATATTTTTATGAAAATAAATTGCTTGTATTTCAAGTGAAATATTATATTTCTACAACTCATATTTAATATATTTTCGATGAGAAATGGCAGTCATCAAACATTTCTAGCTAGAGTATAGCATTTTTTGTGTGTGACATTAACACACACAAAAAATAAAATGATAAAAATATATATCTCTAATTTATTCAGGTAGCCTAAATTATGATAAATTTTTTGTTATAATTGTTCTTTAAGAAAATCAACCTGGTACTCAAAAGAAGCGAAATTTTATAAAAAATTTGAAAATAATAATCGTTTTATAAAAATCATATTGCCAAAAAATATTTATTTAATTTATTTAAAAAATTATTAAAAAACATAATTTTTATATGAAAAAATTATTATTTTTGAAATTTTTATAAAATTTCGCTTTATTTGAGTACCTACATCACATAATTTTGAAAAACTTTTTTTTTGAATAATAATAGGGCCTGCTAATTTTTGTAATTATAGTTGCGGGTGGAAGACATTGTTCAACCCATAAAAGTAAATACTTTCCTAAATTAGTACATAAAAAAACAACTTTCTAGACCATAGCCAGGTTAGCAACTAAAAAAAAAATTTTATGACCCACCCTAATATATATATATATATATATATATATATATATATATATATATATATATATATATATATATATATATATATATATATATATATATATATATATATATATATATATATAATTTAAGTGACATCTTGAATAGTTTGTGTAATAATATTATAAGCATTAAAACATCATATAGGGTATCATACTATTTATTTCTTTTTTAAGTAAAAAAGAAATAAATAGTATGATACCCTATATGATGTTTTAATGCTTATAATTTATATATATATTTATATATATATATATATATATATATATATATATATATATATATATATATATATATATATATATATATATATATATATATATATATATATATATATATAAATATATATATATATATATATATATATAAATATATATATATATATATATATCCTTATAGTGTAGTCGAAAGAGACTTTTATGGTAAAAAAAGTCTCTTTTGACTACAATTTTTTTACCTTGTCTCTTAAGCTGCATTTTATTGTCATCGAAATGTCAAAGCAATTAAATTAATGCGGAAGTACATTAAATTTTATCGCTTTTTAAAAAAACCGCAATAATAATGACTAAAAAGTTTTTTTTTAATTAGTGGTGTTTTTGTTTTATTAAAAAACATTTTTAAAACATGCGTAAGTGTTGCTATATTAACTATCTTATAGCCTGCTGCTACAAAGGAGTGTTGCTACATCGACTATCTTATAGCCTGACTCGCAATGAAGTGCTGCTACATTGACTGACAAATAGCCTGACTCGCAAGGGAGTGCTGCTACATCGACTGACAAATAGCCTGACTCGCAAGGGAGTGCTGCTACATCGACTGAGGGATTGGTTTAGGCAGGCAGTCTATCATTAAAAAAAAAAAAAAATTTTTTTGAAGTTTTTCAACATTTTCTAATCAGGCTTATTAACACGCTGTTTAAAACAACAGTTTCTGAGAAAAATATTCTGACTACCATGCAAGAATATATACATACATACATATATATATATATATATATATATATATATATATATATATATATATATATATATATATATATATATATATATATATATATATATATATATATATATATATATATACACACACACACACATATACCTATAAAGTCAACAGCTGAAGATTTTTCATCCTGGTGATTTCCTTTTACATCCTTGCAATGTGCTTCAAACTCATTGATAATTGTAAGCAATGCATCAAGAGACAAAAAATTTACAGATGACAGATTGCCAGGACGGAAAGCATTCTAAAAAATTACCAAAACTAATGCATTATAACACTTTGAAAAAAATTTCTCAGCAAATGTTTAAAAAACAATTTTTAAACAACTGCATAATAAATTACAGAAGTTACCTTTGAAAGAGTTTTACAAAGATCTTCTAGTATGTTTGCACAGTGCAGATCACAATCAAAATTGACATAAAGTTCTTGTACTAATCCATCAATATGAAACAGCTAAAAGTATTTAAAAATATAAAATAAATAAAAATACTTATAAATATAAAACAACTAAAAATATTAATAAAAATAAAACGACATGGAAAAAGTTGAAGCATTTATTACTACTGATATGAGGAATCCCTAGACTCCAAAATTTACAGTTAAAGATTCCCTATATTTAGCAAGACACTGCAACCCTGGTGGCTCCAGTAATGTTTAGTAACATTTTAAATTTATACAGGAAAAAAAGTCCTACTAATTTTAAACCTGGAAACCTTAGCGGCCGTGGCACAGCGGTTAGAGCTCTTACTTTAGAAGCAAGAGATCAGGGTTCAAAACGAACTCTATTTTTGTGTCATTGGTAAGAAAGGAGGTGTAAGCTTCTTAGTTTAATGCTCATCCGCGATGATCTATACAAGACCCTTAGGTTTTCAAGGGGTACATAAAAAAAGTTAAAATAAAAAAAAGTTCCTATATACAATAACACATAAGAATTTTAATTTCTAACTTCTATTTTTTATTTTATTTTTTTGTTAATTCACCTCCCCAAGTGGAGAAGGCCACTACAGATGAGGAAGCTACTTAATTGTGGTTATAACCCTTTCTCAACTTTATCACTCTGAAACAAGAAGTTTGATAAACAAGGCTGCTGCACAGAGAAACAAGTTGAGCGCAGTACTACCAGGGACATGGGGGGGGGGATTGAACTCGGAACCTCTTGCTTATGAAGCAAGCGGTCTACCACTACACCACTACCGCATATTACAAAAATTACATACTTGCCTCTGTTTTACCCAGCCCCTGTCTCTCCTACAATAATTACATTCTATTTGCCCCCCTCCCCCCTTTTATTTAAAAAAAAATTTAACAACTTTAAGTAGATTTTTTTACCTGATTAACATATTCTAGTGCCATTTCTCTCTTCTCATAAGGAACATTAAGATTCTCAATTGATAAAATTTCCATGAGTTTCAAGAAAAAGCGCTAAAATAAATATTATTATCTAAAATTAATAAATATTATCATCTAAAATTAATAAATATTATTATCTAAAATTAATATTATTATCTAAAATTAATAAATATTATTATATAAAATTAATAAATATTATTATCTAAAATCTTTTAAAAATTGTTAGTTATGTTTTTTCTACTTTTAAATCATATTTAAAAAATATTTCAAATAAATGTTTGCTACTACCATTTTTTCTTCATACTAACATAAAGCAAATAGTATTAGAAATACTATTTATATAGTATTAGAAAATCATTATACCTCGTTTTGAAACTTTAAATTTTGACGAAGTGCTTCAAACAAAAGGAAACATACACGCATTGATAATGAAAATAGAATGTGAATATCACATTGAAGAAGCTTCAAACAAAACATTGCTAAGCTATCACAAAACTTCACAAAATAATAATAAAACATAAATATTTATTTAAAATGTATTCAAAAATTTTTTTAAACTTTTACCGAAAATAGATTTTTACATAAGTCATCTTTTACAATATGCAAAAGTGAAGCAAAGTGTCCAATATGGCTAGCTCCAGATTCTAATGCCACTATGATTAATGACAAACCAATATGTATCATTGTGTTGGTATTGTGTCTGAACATATGAATGTTAAAATTTATTTGGTAAATAATTAAAAATAAGTATATCAGTACAAAAATTATTATAAATTTAATTACTTTAAATGTGAACTTGAAATACTTTTTATGCAAAAAAAAATTCAAAGAAAATTATAAAATAAAAAAAACCTTTTTAAATCTTAAAAGTGATAAGACTGTGTAAAACAATTGAAAATTTTTTTATAGCGTATTTGTTGTATGATTGTTTATAGTATGATATTAATTTTTATCTTCAAAATTTAAAAGCGAAAAATTGTTTTATTTTATATTCATAGTAAATTTATAAAATTTAGAAAATAATAATTTATTTGTATTTAATCAATTAGATTTCTAATCTAATAACATTTTAAATACATTTTTGAAAATATTTTACTTTTGGCATTTATTAAAGCTTTACTAATTATCCATAACTTATACTACTTATACTATTACCATTACTTATACTATATTACCCATAACTACCCTTTACTAATACTAACTATGATTACATTATGTAACCCAATTTTTGTTCATGGCTTATAAGTGTTATATATTAATTGCTAATGCATGTGAAAAAATGATTTCATTTAAGCACAAACTTTGCTTACACAACAACAGCATGAAGAAAGCCCATTTTTTTGTGAAACTAGAACAATTTTTTTTTCATATTCCTCATTATGATCAGGTAAAAACAGAAGTTGCACAAGAAATAGACAAAAATATTCAGAAACCACTCACCAAGGTTCAGAATAGTTAAGATTTTCTAGATTTACAATTGTACTGTGAATCACTCTCTCGAAGTAGCTCCCAAATATAGTCTCCTTTCATGTTTTCGTTATACTGTCCTTATTAACAACATTTAAAGTCCAACATATCTTGATAAAAGCGCTCGTCTTGCTCCTCGGATTATGTTCTCCTTGAACTTGTTGAGATGCAAATCAAGGATATAGACTTTCAGAGACATTCTACATCTCATTTTGGTGTAATACTTTATGAGATTCTGCACCAACACCACATAGTTTTCAGCTTTGTTATTATCTAGGAAACCCTGAACAACTGCAATGAAACTGCTCCAAGCTGCTCTCCCCGTCCTGTTCAACAGCTTGCGAAATCCTCACATTCTATGATCTTCTTGATCTGTGGTTCGACAAATATACCAGCCCTGACCTTAGCCTTGGACAGCTTTGGAAAAAGATCTTGGAGGTATTCTCAGGAACAGAACAAAAGTGAAAACTTATTACATAGTGTTATATGATACATTATACCATAATAATTTTTTTTTTAATATAACCATGTAATTTATAATCTTATGCAACTTTGATTACTTGGCCATTGATTGGTACCATTGATAAAATCAAAATTGAGATCAATAAGTGAAACTTAAATTCTAAAAGCGTATATTATATAAAAAGATCTAGTATTATGTCATGACATCAGTCAGTAAAAATTAAATCATTGAAGTTATCTTGTAAAAGTATTAAAAAATGTAAACAACAGTTTGTAACATTAATGGTTTAATACTAATATCCAATACATTTTTTACATATTCTTATATGAACATAGTAAAAAATACTTATACTTAAATACAAAATATCATATGGAAAATAACTACATTTAAATATAATATTGTGCAGAAAATAATCTTACAGGTAAAATATTAAAACATATATTAAATACACAAATATTACTTAAGTAATACAATATTTATAAATACTATTTATATATTTATAAATATGGTATAACTTAACTTTGTTAAATTTTATTTAATAATATTAGTTATACTTAATAAAAAAAATATTTTTAAATGTCTTATAATAATATATCTTTAATTTATTTATAACTTATATATTTATTTATATATTTGGTTTTATATTTATAACTTATATATTTATTTATATATTTGGTTTTGTATTTATAACTTATATATTTATTTATATATTTGGTCTTATATTTATAACTTATATATTTATTTATATATTTGGCTTTATATTTATAACTTATATATTTATTTATATATTTGGTTTTATATTTATAACTTATACATTTATTTATATATCTGGTTTTATATTTATAACTTATATATTTATTTATATATTTGGTTTTATATTTATAACTTATTTATATATTTGGTCTTATATTTATAACTTATATATTTGGTTGATGCTAGTTACTCGATGAAGAAAAAAATTTAAAAACTATACCGATCGTTAGGATTGATAAGTGAGGTTAGAAATCGTAACAGCTCGCGCACACAAGGAAGTCCATAAGGCATAAGAGGACCCATTCCTTAATGAAACATAAACTAAATTTTAACTGTTGAATAATTTAGTATTTCAAATAAAGCTTTTTTTTTAAAATGAATTCAAAATTTATTAACCTTCTTTATCATGTGATGTGAAACGAACACCCTGGGTATTCACATAATCTTGGTTATTAGTCTCTTCAGTTTTCAATGTTGTTGAAGTAATCTTAAAAACAGATTTATCTATTTCAGATATTTTTTATGTTAAAAAAAATATTTCATTCTAACATTAAAAGAGAGAATAACAAAATTTTTTGAGTTTTTAAACAAACAACAAAACAAGACTTTAAATAAAATAAAATATTTATTTATACAATAAGTTTATTATTACCTGAACAGGGCTAGCAACCTCATCATCACCAACTGTTGGATCTGACTCGTCTGGATATTGTAATGATATTACGCCATGGTCTTCAAAGTTTTGGAGATTTTTATTAGAATCACATGACTTGCTCTTTACTTGACCATCTGGAATTTCCATCGATAATGTAGATTCTAGTTGAAGATCACATGCTTGGTTTATATCTTCAATACTTTTCATAACTTCTGTTGAATCACTTAATGTATTTTCAACAACTGTTGTCGAATCAATTTCTCTAGAATTTTGTGAATGAAGTTTTTTTAAAAATGTCATTTCGTCTGCAGATGAAGGTTCTACTTCAACCATAGTTTTACATTCACTGCTGTCAACCATAGTTTTACATTCACTGCTGTCAACCATAGTTTTACATTCACTGCTGTCAGAAACAACTTCTGTATCAGAATGAGAACGTTTTGTTTCTAAAAACAATTGAAATTAATTCTACAATATAAAAAAATAAGTAAACTTTTGAAAAACAAGATGATGAATGAATACTAAAAACAAGTAAAAGAATGAATGAATAAATAAATAAATGATGATTAAGCAAAAAAAAAATGATTGATTAAATCAAGAGGATTCAATAAAAGAATAAAAATACATAACATATAAATAGTATAAATATCTTTGCAGTAAACTTAATGGTTCTGTAACTTCATAAAATAATAAATTGGGTATGATAAGGTATATCAAATATAGGCAAGGTAATGGCATTACAAATGGTGGATGCTTTTTTTAACAGCTCAAAAGTAGTTTTGTAGAAGGAAAAAAAAGATAAAATAAATCTAAAAATTATCTTACGCAAAAATAAAAAACAGGAAAAAGAAAAAAAAATTAAACAAAGATAGTAAAATAATTTTAAAATAAAAAAGTAATAAAAACAAACAAAACTAAATTAGAAAAATAAAATAAATAAAAAAGTAAATAAAAAAAGACAAAGAAATGCAACAAAAAACTATAGAACTGTATAAAAATAAAAAGAAAAGAAAAATATTTTTTTATGCAATGCATTTTATAATTATTTCTTGTTACTATTAATTTCTTGTTTCTATATACTTTTCTGTTTTGATGAGTTGATGAGTTATTTAAATTAACGCTTGACTAATAATAGTTAGTCAACGATTTATTTATTTTATTTTATTTTGTAATATTCGCATGTTTATTTTTGTTTATTGTATTTTTTTTTCTTCTTCTTTCATTTCAATATTGTTCATTCATTATGAACTCTTTATGTATTTTGTTGTTTTTGTGCGCTGTGTTTTTGTTATGATTTTGTTTACATTTCATAATAATCATAATATTATTGCATTATTAAAATCATTATTATTATAATTATTGCTATTGTTACTATTGTTATTACTATTTATCCTTTTTATTAATATCTCTTTTAAAAATATTATTAGATCTTCTTTCATATAACTTAATCTCTTGTTTTTAATTAATATAATTGTTTTATGTCATTAATACTAGTTACTATTAATTGTTTTTTTAACTGTTTAAACTTTCTACCTTTGCGTATATAACTATTGCATTTAAACTGTTTAAACTTTCTACCTTTGCGTATATAACTATTGCATTTTAACTGTTTAAACTTTCTACCTTTGCGAATATAACTATTGCATTTAAACTGTTTAAACTTTCTACCTTTACGTATATAACTATTGCATTTAAGCTGTTTAAACTTTCTGCCTTTGCGTATATAACTATTGCATTTAAACTGTTTAAACTTTCTGCCTTTGCGTATATAACTATTGCATTTAAACTGTTTAAACTTTCTACCTTTGCGTATATAATTATTGCATTTAAACTGTTTAAACTTTCTGCCTTTGCGTATATAACTATTGCATTTATAAAAATTATTGCTATCATTATTAATATTATCAATTGTTGCATGTTGTAAACTCTATCATTATATATTGTTAACAAGTATATTATATATTACTTTTATTATATAATTAAGATTAGAAGGTATAACATACATTTTTTTTTTTTTATCTATTTTAATTCACACTTGCTTTTATTTATTAATATTGTTTTTTGTTTTTGTTTTTTTGTGTGTTTATTTTATTAAGGTGTCACTCCATTGACTAGTTTTTAACTATATGAGTGACACCTAACCTGACTTATAAATTAGAAGTTTTATATAAAAAAATTATAACAAAACTTCTAATTTTTCAATATTACATTGAAAAAATGAAAAAAAAAATATAAATTTTTACAAATATTTACGAGTTTTTCTGGAAATCCAGAGATAAAGGTATTTAAGTCTTTTCATTTTTAAACTTAAATTCTTAATTAAAAAATAATAAACTCAGAGGATAATTTTAAGTCAAAACTAAAGCCATAAGTTGATGGTCAATTTTTATAATTCTTCTTTATTTTAACAACTGTTTTTTCTCAACTTCAAGCAAATAGGAAAAAACTTGCAAAAAAATGACTAGACAATTTTGACCACAACGCATGAAATATTGCTAAAACCAGGGAACAGATATATTCGTAAAAAGTAGGTAACTAGCCAACTCATTATAATTACATTAATATTCACTTTAAGTTTTTAGTTTTTCAGCAAACTATTTTAGTTGTATTTCGAAATAGTTTTGTTTTTTTCGTTGATAGTTATAACTGATATTTATAACTGCTTTTATTTTTTATTTTGCTCAAACTAATATTTAATATGAAATTATTATGCAATTATTACAAGTCATTGTGTAATAATTTATATATTATGTAATGAATTATATATTTTATATATTTATTAAATAAATTATATAAATTTATAAAAATTTGTCTCAATTTGAACAAAATAAAAAAAAAAGCACAATTACATGCTTTACTAAAAAAAATTGTAATTATTTTAACACTTTTCTTGTGATATTCTTAAACTTCTTGCATTATTCATACATATAAACATTTTTATAGTGGAAATTGTTGTGAACTTCCTGCATTCTATTAAAGTAAGAAAATATAAAATATTTTTTATAAACAGTAAACACTTTTATAGATCTTTGTTTATAAAATTTTCAATTGAATAAATCAATGAATGAGTTAATGAATAAATGAATAGGTAACGTGAAAACCCGAAGAAAATGCTTATCTAAAGAATTTTTTTATTGCACAATAAACAACACTTGTTATGTATATATTCTTGTAGCATTAACATTACTGGTAAAATATAGTTATGTATATATGGTATATATGTATATATGGTATATATATATATATAGCATATAACATGTGTATATTGTATATATGTAACATATGTATATATTATATATGTAACATATAATGTATGTGTATATTATATATATAACATATAACATATGTCTATAATATATATATAACATATAACATATGTCTATATTATATATATAAAATATAAAATATGTGCATGTTATATATATAACATATAACATGTGTATATTATATATATAACATATAACATATGTGTATATATTTTAACATATGCTTGTAATGAGTATAAAAAGCAAATTTTTTATAATTAAACAGATTAAAAGATAAACAGATAGCTCGTGCCAAAACCCAAAGCTCATGTAAAAAATTTTTTAAAGCAGCAGCTTGCATGGCTCCCCATGTTTGTTTTGGAAAGCTTTTCTCTGGAAAACTTTTCTCTGCTGTCACACTCATTTACTTCTGCTGAGGCATGAATATATATATTTATTATATATATTATATATAATATTCAGAAATACTGTCTATTATTCTTTAAGTAACATTTATCATTTGTTAAATATTACACTAAAATAAACTAAAAAAAAGAAAATAAACACCTATTTTTTGAAGTTCCTTTTCATCTTCAGAACCATTTTTATTTGAAGGACTTGTTGTGGTATTAACTGTTGTCATAGATTTTGATTGACGCATCTTTGGTTTTGCTCTATTTTTCCTTGAACCAGATGTTGGAACTGTTCTCTTGAACATCTAAATCACAGCTAGAAAAATAAGATTGCTAAAATGCTTTTATTTTTTTACTTGTTATACACATTTACATACTGTTATACACATTTATTATACTTATAGTTTAGATATATTTTGTTTAACTATCATTGAAGCTATATAGAAAAAACTACATTAATTAATAGAAACCTAATATTAGTAAACTTCTTTATTTTTAACTGCGATAATATATATATATATATATATATATATATATATATATATATATATATATATATATATATATATATAATATATATATATATATATATATATATATATATATATATATATATATATATATATATATACTCTAGGGCTATTAGACCTTAACATTTTTTTCTCAACCTAAAACAGCAATTTCATATATTTCGATTGCGTCTAATAGCGCTTCCATTAGAATATATATATATATATATATATATATATATATATATATATATATATATATATATATATATATATATATATATATATATATATATATATATATATATATATATATATTAGTGGTGTAGAGTCGTGGTCACTTGATGGCAAATACCAACTAAATTGTTTGAAGGGCTACCAGAAATTTTATTTTGACACAATTGAGTTGCTTAAACAGGCTCAATATTTTTTTCTTTTTTCTTTTTTCTTTTTCTTTTTATTAATTCTATAATTCTATAAGAAATTTTTTTACATCCAACCATTAAGTTAAACTTTATATTTTGGGTTTAAAAAAAGAAGACTTTTTCCAGTTACATATTTTTGATGACTTTTAACTAACGTAATAATGTGTTAACATTTTGTAAGTCTAAGTGTTAAAGTTTGTTTTATGTTTTTACTATTATTTGTTAGAAATAAAGTTTTTTGAGCATTAATTTGTTTAAAAATTAAAATTTTAGTTTATGTTTAACTATTATGTTTAGTTAGAGAAAAATAATAGAAATAGAAAATTGTAAATAAAATATCTTAATGTAAATAGGCGCAGTGTTACATTTTTAGTGGTTACTTATTTTTATTATAAATGATACAAATAAAATTTTGCTGACTTAAAATCATAAGTATTCATGTGAATTTCATTTATTTTTATAAAGACTTTACTGAATTAAGTGCTGGGTACGATGGTAATTATTCTGCTTTAACACGTCTATTTCTGTTTTTAATCCATCAATACACTTTTATGTTGGGGTGCTCGCAGTAGATGGAAACTTAAACTGGTTGTTTATGGGGATTCAGCAAAGCATCCAGCTTAGCTTCCAATCAAGAGATAGCTGAATCCAATGGAATTGAGCCTTGTAACTTAGCAAAAATGATAGTTAATTCCCTGGTAGTACCGCGCTCAACTCGTTTCTTCGCGCAGCGGCCTTGTTCATCAAGGTTCGTGTTTTGAAGTTATAGAGTTGAGAGAGGGTTATAACCACAAATAAGTAGCCTCCTCGTCTGTAGTGGCCTATTTGGCCACAAAAGACGAGGAGGCTACTTATTTGTAAAAAAAAAAAAAAAAAAAAAAAAAAAAAAAAAGCTACTGCAGTTTGATAATCAGACTGTTGTTTTAATTTAAGGTGGGGCTTTAGTTTTTTTATGAATAGGCTCAGCTTGGTTTAATCATCGATACCTAATTGCTGGCTAAGTTCATAGAGGGTGATAATGTAGGAATTCAGATCTGCATTCTGTGAAAACCCAAACAATCCCATTTTCCTGTTCCATGCTATGTTTACATTATCATAGTGTTGATGGAATTGCTCTTAAAGCTGGTGATAATCATTCCTTGTAAGTGCAGAAGTGTCTCATAATAGACTAGAGCGCTGTCTTCTAAGTAAAGCGGAAACGCTAGTATTTTCCTTTCATCTTTCCACTGATTGTGAAGTGCAATACGACAAAAGCTGGCTAACCATTCAGTGATGTCTTCTACTTCCATACCCCTAAAAACTATCGGATGTATTTCTTGACTTGGCTTCATTGCCAAACATTCTAAAATTTGCTCAAGCGACATATTGTTCTTTTCTTCAGCATTTGTTGGGGAATTGCTGTTTTCTGTTTTAAACAGATTCAGACTGTATGTAACCGTATGTGATACGCTATAATAATACTAAAAGCATCACACAATATAGATAATAAAAGATAATTATTAAATATAAAGAAATAAAAAAAGTATAACCCAAAAAAAAAAATTGTAACAGATGCGTATATTAGTCTAGTCTGGAAAATAGATTCAGAATAGAGTCAGTAGAATCGAAGGAGTTATTAAGAAAGGTATGAGAATTATTGTCTGTATTAGAAAAATAAGTTGGTTTAGTAAATTGACATATTTCTTCCCGAATGTTAATGGCTCATAAGTAACCGGCAAAGCTAACAAAGTTGGTAATAATAGTTACGGTTCCGTTGAGCATGAGCAAAATAAGCGTGAGTAAAATAACAGATTAAAAAAAAATCTTTTCTTACACAGTTGAATTGATATGCCCAAGTAGAGATGGAATCTGTTTTTGTATCCTGGCAGTGCCTTTAATTGTTTTTCGCTTGTTAAAGAAACTTTCTGAATATATCCAGGAACAATTATTTTGTAATAATAATATTTTGTAAATAATATCTTTTACAACTCCTATATTTTACCCAATAAAATAGTAATTTTATATCATATATGATCTCTTCCATTTTCCTCTTCTTATTTCCTTCTCTTGTATTACTTCCGCAACTCTCTGTACTACTTCTTTATTACTTTGTGTATACTTTTTGGAGGTTGCTAGATGCGTCTTAATAGTTCAAACAGGTTTGTCTAGCGTTTACGTTAAGCGCATATTTATGTTAGGTTATACATTTATATATCTGTAGTTCCATCAATATAATAGTGTTAATTCACTGCAAAAAATATTTAGTGAAAAAACTTGGTTACTTTAACAAAAACATTTAGTGAATATTTATGCACCAAATATTTTTGTTAAAGTAAATAAATTATTTGGTGAAAAATTATTTTATAACTTTAACCAAGTGATTTTGTAAATTAATCAAAAAGATTTTTTAAACTTAACAAAATGATTTTGAAAACTTAAGGTGGTACCCAGTCATTACTTCTATTTTCTTATATTTTACACATAATAAATACCTTTTATGAATTACTAGCATAATAGATAAAAATCTAAAATGTATATATTTTTAATGCAAATATTTTTTTAATTTGAAAAAAAAATAATTGCTGACTAAACAAAAAAAGGTGAAAAAGTTAACGTCCCAAGAACATAAATATTTTAAGATTACATCGATATTAAAGGTTGAAATATTGCAAAATGCTAGTATATTAGTGTAGCTTGTGCTTGATCCAAAAAGTTTTTAAAAGTTTTTAACAATTAAAAATGGCAGACTTAAAAGTATAAAAAACTATTTTTAGCGATAAAACACTTATTTGATATAGCAATTGTAGGTTAAGTTTAATTTTTTTTTTTATTTTATTTTAAGTTCAGGCACTAAAAACATTAATAATGAACATATCCTGAAAATTTGAAGCTAAAATAATGATTCTTTATTAAGATATCATTGTTTTCTTACAGCTACTCATTAAAAAAAAAAATTGAGGAAAAAAAAAAGTTTTTAAATTATAAACCATGTAGACAGCTTACATAAATCATGTTTGAAAATGTTACATAATAATGTTAGATAATACTATTGATATTCTAAAATTATTTTGGAAAATATATTTTTACTATTGAATTCTACAAAGTTCAATTGTCTAAATAACATTTTTTCAAATTTTTCATTTTTTACCAAAATAATGGCTGGATACCACCTTAAGGAAATGATTTTGTAAACTTAACCAAATGATAATGCGAAATAATTTGGCAAAATTTAAAAAAATCTGCGGTGCATAAATATTTACCAAATGTTTTTATCAAAATAACTAAGTTTTTTTAGTTAATACCTGTGAAATTTTTTTATTTTATTTAGGAAAGTACACCATTAAATTTAGCCTTCCTTTTTTGACAAAATTGATTTTTAATTTATAATCAAAATTAAAAAATAAATAAATAATGAAAATAATAAAAATGAAGAAACAAAAAAACTAATTTAAATAAATTAGTTTTACTTTGTAATGCATAACTATCTAAAGTAAGCAACTAGGGCTGATATTTGACCGAGGCTGGGGTAGGGTTTAATAAACCATAGCTAGGGCAGAGGTTATGGCATATATATATATATATATATATATATATATATATATATATATATATATACATATATATATATATATATATATATATATATATATATATATATATATATATATATATATTTATATATATATATATATATATATATATATATATATATATATGCATATATATATATATATATATATATATATATATATATATATATATATATATATATATATATATATATATATATGCATATATATTTATATCCTTATCTGGTAGTCGAATAAAGCTTTTAAGCTAAAAAAAAGTCTTTTGACAACAATTTCGCGACTTAACAATTAAGCAAAACAATTTAACAATTAACATTTTATTGCCATCGAATGGTCAAAACAATTAAATCAATGTGGAATTACATTAAGTTTTTTAAAAAACCGCAATAAGTTTTTTTTAATTAATAGTGTTTTTGTTTTTATTTTATTAAAATATATTTTAAAAAAATGCGTGGAGTGTTGCTAAATTAACTATCTTATAGCCTGCTGCTACAAGCGAGTGTTGCTACATCAACTATCTTATAGCCTGACTAAAAACGGAATGCTGCTACATCAACTATTTTATAGCCTGACTCACAACGGAGTGCTGCTACATTGACTATCTTATAGCCTGACTCGCAACGGAGTGCTGCTTCATTGACTGAGGGTTAAGTTAAGGCAGGCAGTCTATCATTTGAGAAAAAAACAACACTTTTCTTTTCTTTCTGGTCTGGTTTATTAGCGCTCTCTTCAAAACTACAGTTTATGGAAGAAACTTTTTGCCTACCATGCATATATATATATATATATATATATATATATATATATATATATATATATATATATATATATATATATATATATATATATATATATATATATATATATATATATATATATATATATATATATATAGAAAAGATTTGTTGTATTCTTTCATTAAAGGAAATTTTAGGAAATTAAAAAAAATTAAAGGAAAAAAAAAGACTGAATAGAAGATTAGTTTTAGTTAGTATAGGCTCGCAGTTTATATAACTGTAAAATGTAGTGACTAAAGGAAAGATTTCTTTAGCTTTCTTTTGTTGAGCTGGTCCTTGCAGTTTTGCATTATGAAAAGCTTTTTCAATAACATTGTCCAGGTAATTGCATTCTTTCAGCCATAATTTAAGCTCTGCTAAACGTATGTTTTCTGTGGTATAATCAGATGTAAATACGATTATTCTTTTTGCAAGATTAAACGGAATGTTCTTTTTGGTATGGTAAGGATGATGACCATCAAAATTTAAATAATCATGAACGTTAGTTTCTTTATAAAATATATCCGTTTTAATATTTGTTATTTTGAAGAATGACAGAAATGTCTAAAAAATTAATTATATTATAAATATTTTCTTTTTCAATTAATTCAACGCCATATTCAATTGTAAAGGTAATTGACTTGTTTAATTCAGCGAGTGACAACTTAAATTTTTCTATATCTAGATATTTAGGCCATATGTTAAAACCATCATTAACATATCTATAGTAAAACTGCTTAATACTTTGAACTTTGTCATTTGAAAAATTTTACCAAGGTTTTTTTCAAATGACGAAGTTCAAAGTATTGAACAGTTTTATATGACTTTTATATTTTGTATGACTTGCCCAAAAATGTAAAAATACGAACAAAAGTTTTGAATAGGTGGCCTCATTTTTTTTGTCTGGAAGATCTATATATATCATGCATATATATGTATATATATATATATATATATATATATATATATATATATATATATATATATATATATATATATATATATATATATATATATATATATATATATATATATATATATATATATATATATATACATGATAGATGAGTATTTGACTTTATGAAAATCCCAGAAAAATATTTTATTAAAAATTGATCGTATTAACTGACAACAAAAACTTTTGCAAACTTTTAGAACGGAATTTAGGTTACTTAACATTTTACAAAAAGGAATTTATAATATTCGATAAAGTTAATTCAAATGAACTAAAAAGCAACAAATAAAAGAACTTTTTACGAAAATTGATCTCGTGAAAAATCTAATTATAGAAAACATATTAGTTTAAATACAAAAGTTGTCATATTTAAAATTTAATGTAAAAATATATAATTTTTTTTCAAATTAATAACAAAAAACATCTAGAAATTTCTGAAAAATTAAAGGAGTTTTAAGTGAATTTCCAGAATTCCCGTAAAAAAAACTCATCTATGATATATATGCATGGAGTCCTCTTCTTTACGTCTTCTTGGATTATCCTTTACTACTAACCTTTCATAGGAACCATATATAGAATCGATTAGTAAGTTAGCATTCACTTAGGTTGCTTCTCTTTAAAGTGCTTGCTTTAAAGTACTCCTGATTCAATTCTCTACCTCTACAATTCTTCTAATGATGCTATTTCACTTCTAGACAAGGTCCAAAAATGCATTGTAAACATAGTTGGATCTGCTCTATCTGCTAAGCATGACCCCAAACTCATCTTCATAAAGTTGCATCTCTTTCTCTTTACTACGAATACTACCATGGACACTTAGATTTTCATTAATCGATGGATAAAAATCATGATGATATTTATCCATCGATTAATGAAAATCTACTAAAAAATGCAATAACTTTTGCAGAGCAACATCTAACAATAAATAATGAACAAAAGAGTTTTATAAACCATGCAAGAAAATCATTATTATTTAGCAGTGGAACTGCTTGGATTAAGAAAAAGGAAGGATTATTGGATTCACTATGGGGGCCTTTGATGGCACAGAGATTTACAAATTAGTTGGGAATTTTATTTTGCATCGAATCACGCAGTTTTATGATAAAAGCAATTTTGGTATATATTGAGATGATGGATTAGCTATGTTTCTAACAAAAGTGGTCAGGAAATGGAGAGGATAAAGAAACATTTTGTACAAATTTTTAAAAATAACAACCTTATTATCTCTATTAAATGTAATTTGAAAATAGTTAAAACTCGATTTAACGCTAAAACTTGACAATAGTTCTTTTCAGCCATACCACAAACCAGATAGTATACTGAATAATATACATATTAGTTCTAATCATCCACCGAGTGTAATAAAAAGTATTCATAAGACTATTGAATTAAAATTATCAGCAGTATCATCAAATGAACCAATTTTTAAAAAAAGTATTCCTCCTTTTCAAGAAGCCTTGAAAAAAATCAGGGTTTTATTGCGAACTTGCATACCATCCAAGTTTAAAATCTTTAAATGGCAATCATAAATGCAAAATAATTTGGTATAATCCTCCTTTCAGTGCAAATGTTGTAACAAAAATAGGTAAATGCTTTTTGAACCTCATTGACCTCCAGTTAAACACAAACTACGTAAAATATTTAATAGAAATACAATCAAAATAAGTTATTCCTGCATGCCAAACATAAAATCAATTATCAACTCTCACAATAAAAGCATTTTAAATAAGGAGACAAAAACTAATAAAACAAAATGTAACTGCATTGACAAATCCAAATGTCTAATGAACAACCATTGTTACCGGAATATAAAGAACCGGAATAAAAAGAAAAAGTGTATTTTGGACTCAGTGAAACATCTTTTAAAGTTCGGTATGCAAACCACTTAAAATCATTTAACGCAATTAGATATATGAATGACACAGAGTTATCAAAAGAAGTATGGAAATTGAAAGAAAAAAACTTTACACCTTTTATCAGATGGAAGATTGTTAAACAGTGCAAAACATACAACCCAGCATCAAAAATTTGCAACCTCTGTTTGAACAAGAAGTTTCAAATTTTAATGTATAAAGGAGATAACCTACTTAATACAAGGAGTAAAATAATCTCAAAATGTAGACACAAAAATAAGTTCCTTATTTCCTCATTTGATACCGAAGATTAACCCTTGTTGATGTAAACTTGACGTAGACCTAGTTGGTCTACGTCAAGTTTACATCATGTTATACTTTCAAAACTTTTAAAATTTTGTTTCCGCGGAATCATTAGAACTCACGCCACCGTAATTCTAATTGTAATTTTAACGTTAAATTTTTAACTTTGTATCATATGGCTGATGATTACTGTTAGACAAGAAACTAAATGTTCCTAATAAGTTTTTTCTTCTTCGTTTTTAATTTTATATATATATATATATATATACATACAGGGGTCGAAATAAGTGCCGGACATCGCCGCCCCTCAGACCATTTTTGAGACCTGCTATATGAGGGCAACCAACCATTGTTCATTTTTACTGCAAAACTGAACAATGGTTTGTTGCCCTCATCTCTCAGGTCTCAAAAATGGTCTGAGGGGCGGCGATGTCCAGCAGTTATTTCAACCCCTGTACATATATATATATATATATAATATATATAAATATACAAACATATATATATATATATATACATATACAAACATATATGTATATATTATATATATATATATATACTAAAAGCGTTTAATGCCAGCAAAAAATTGCTGACCTCATTTGTTTTCATTATATTTTATGGTAACCCCTTGTATAACTTTTTTGCAATTTCTATATAGCATATAGAAATTGCAAAAAAGTTTTTGTTACAATTTACAAAAAAATTTTTAAATTTCCAGAACCAACTGAATTAAATCTTCAATTTATTTCTGAATTTAAGCAATAATTGAAAAAAAAAAAAAAAAAAAAAAAAACGTATCTTCTATATCTTAAACATGGGGAGAAATTTTTCCAGTTTACTATTTTTATAACATACTTTGCATAAGTTTCAACAACTTGATACAAGCTTCTTTAAACCTTTTATCATATTTGACAACAGTTTCTGGAAGCAAAACTGGTCAGATCAGTTAATGACTATAAATAATATTCCTAATCAAACATTTTTGCCAGGACATGTGTACACAGTTTATGTTATAACAAAACAGAATTAACCAGGATTTATGTACATATTTTGTGTATAAACATTTTCATCAGGATTTGTTACAAAAAGATAACAACAAAAATGTCTTTTAAACTTATTTTATTGTTCAGAAACAAAAATGAAGAAAAATTAAATTTTAAGTATATATTAGTATCAAAAAATAAGTATTTAAGAATTTATTTTTATTCAAATAAAAATTTATTTACCTTAACTATTTATAAGGTATTTAAAAATATTTCAAACTTTTAAAAATCTATTTAAAAAAACTGCTAAAATTTATTAGGCTTTAAGTAACACAAAAATGTACCTTACGAATATGTGGCGAAGATAAAATACTTTTTGAGTCTTCATTAAATTGAGGCAACCTAAAAACACCAGAAAATTTCAATTCAATCAATCAAAGCACTGTATTAATTTATTACATTGTTTGATACAATATAACTTTATTTATAAAATAGAAACTCAATGAATAATGCTATGAATCAAAGATAATATTTGTTTTAAAGAAGAAAAACCAAACTTTTAAATAAATTTCTTTAAAATGATTTTGATGTCAATTTATACAGTGGTGTAAAAAATATAAAAATCATCTAAAAATTTTTTTGATTTCTTTCTTTTGAAACTTGAGAATTTGTTTATTAAAATTTGTTATTATCTTTAGATATTAAGACAAGGTTGAATGATTTTATTATTTTTTAAAAATACACAGTATAATTGGTGGCTGTTTTTGATGTGTTTTATCCTTACTAGTAAAGTTTAATGGTTGTGGGAAAATATGTGCATACCAAGAAGCATAAAGACACTGTGCATTTTATTTTATTTTTAACATATGATATATAGTCTGTGAAACACATTTGCAACTTTATAAGAAATGTCACTGCCTTAGTTAAAGCAAAAGTTAGAGAGATCAAGCTATTAAAAGCCTTATTAAAACTTTATCCATTTTATCAGAAAAAGATTGTCGAAAAAGTAGGTTACAGTTAGTAAGCAGTTTATACCATTCCAAAAAAAACTTTATATACCTGAAATTGAGCTTAAAATGCTCAGATTCCAATTGAGAAAATGCTCATAATAGTACCAGCCATACTAATTTGATTGGTTTAGTGCAAGTAAGATAAACAAAAACTTTAAAACATACTAGAGCATATAATACCAATATTTCTAATAGCTATGTAAAGATTTTATTCAATTATACTTCTTAGGACGAAACAAATAGTCACTGCTGAATAGTCAAATCCAAATACATATATATATATATACATATATATATATATATATATATATATATATATATATATATATATATATATATATATATATATATATATATATATATATATATATATATATATGTATTTTTTAAACATCTTCGCTTCCAACAAGGCTGCAAGCAACCACTAATTAGAGTTGGAAGTTACTGGAAAAGAAAAGATGAAGGTTGTAGAGCAAGATAACAATTGACAGACAACTTAAAAGATTGCAAATTATATGAATCAGGAAAGCAAGATGAAGGAAGCGAATACCAAAGAACTGATGTACGAAGAAAAAAACTAGAGGAATAAGAGTTTTTGGAGCACTTAGGAACAGTCACAGAAAAAGGATGAGACCTTATTGAATGACGAGTAACAGGAGAATAAACCTTAGTAGATGGCATTAGAGAGGCCAGCTCCCTAGAGCAGTTCCCATGATAATACTTGTAGAAAAGAGAAAGAGAAGCAACATTACGACGATGTGATAATGGTTGAAGGTTGGCTGCAGATCCAACTATGTTTACAATGCATTTTTGCACCTTGTCTAAAAGAGAATTATTAGATTTTTTAAGTTATTTTATCTAGAACTTAAATAAAACATCTGTTTAGATTTTGCTTGTTTTGTTGGTTTCACCATAACAACATAGAAAAAAGATAAGCAAAAAATTGCCAACCTTGTTTCTGCCAAAACTTCTAAGTCGACAATTAGGTCAACATTGCTTAATGCTAACCTTAATTCTAAGGATTCAAGTATGAAATGTGTTTTGGTATTGCTAAAGCAATACGGGCACCGAAATAAAAATATCTAAAAAAATTTTATTATTTGATTTTTTTTTTTTTTTTGCTTCTTTATTAAACAGGAAAAAAAGTTTTGGCTTCAATAAAAATAAAGATTGCAATAACTTAATAAGTTTTATCAAATTTTAATTATTTTCAACAGTTTTTAATTTTTTTTTTAAAAAAACTCTTAGTAAAACTTACATTTACTAGAACTTTTTTAAAAAAACTTTTTTAAAAAAACACTTTAAATAAATATTTAAAGTACGCAATTTATTTAAATACATACTTTTTTATTATTTATCATTAAGTTTATAGTAATTATCTCATTTAAAAGATGCCTTAGAGCACTGTGAAAAATCTTCAGTAAAACTTAAATTAACAGAATTGCTAATATTTAAAGCAAATTGAAAATTAAAATAATAGTAAATACGCTTATTAAACATCTAAGTTTCATATTCGAATAATTATTGTCTATATAATACATTATATTATATTTAGACAATTACTATTTGGCTAAGCGTTTAATAAGTTAATTACTTTTTTGACTAAGCATTTTAGATGTAAGCATTTAATAAGTGTAATTACTTTAATTTTCATTTTTACGCTATTTGTAAATATTGATTAAAAATTGTTTAGAGTGTTTTACACATTTAATAACTACTAAAATTAAAATCAAAAAAAAAAAGTTTTTTAATCTTTAAAATACTTTAAACAATTTTCAATAAATATTTACAAATAAGGTGCAACTTAAAAGTTTATCAAAATATTAAATTCTTAATGTAACTAAAATATATCCACTGTTAAATAATGTATTCAAAAAAATGCCTTGTGCAATGAGATGCTATTTTAAATTAACTCCTTATTATGAGATAAAACTAAACCAGGTGAATACAACAAAAGTCATATTTAAAATATAAAAGGCTACACCAAGAACAACCAACCACCCCTCCCCTTTCATCTTTAAAAAAAAGTGATATCCCCAAATAATCTCTGGGTTCATCTCTGGGACTGCATATCTTAGATTTTAAATCAAGCTGATTAAGAAGAAACTTGTTTTGGCATCAATGAGTGTAAATATAAAAAATAACACACACGACTGAATTAAACAAAAATAACTGAACTAAACAAAAATATAAATAAAATAAATAAATGGTACCTCAAAAAAAAAAACCTCAAAATGTCAGTATTAAAAAAATAAAATCCTTACTTTTTATTTGTCAAAAAATTCTTTTTAAATAGAACATTTTATAAACAAACCTAATTTTTAAAAATTATATACACAAAAAAAACATACCGTAAAAAGAGTAACTGAACCATGTCTGTCAAAGTTTGTTCAGCACTTCGACGTAAAAGTTCTTAATAGAAAAAATAAAATTTTCAAAGTTTATCACAAAACTAATATAAATTTGTTATAAAAAAAGCATTTTAAACTTTATAGATAACTCAAATTGCGCAAAGCAAGTAAATTTACAAGCAGAAAATATACAAACACACAAACAGTAAATTCACCAACAAATAAAGCAGTAAATTCATCAACACAAAAAGCAATAGCCTATGAAAAGCAAAAGCCTACGAAAAGGTGATATAAGTATTGATACTTTAATACAGATCTAATAAAAACCTTTGATATTTTTTAAAACAATATTAAACATTTTGTGTTAACTTACCACTAAGTCTCATTTCAAAGCAGATTCTAAAGCAAGACTGCATAATCTCGCAAACAGATTCATTAGTCATATGAACACCAACAGGACTAAGAAGTAAAGACCGAAGTACCTAGAAGAAAATTTGATTCCAATAAACTTTACTGTTTTCATATAAAAAGCTCTTAAAACTTAAACATCCTATTATTTTATTATAAAAGTTCTTGAAAAATTTAATACGAAAGTAATAAAATACTGAAGTAATAAAGTGTAAAAATTTAAAAATATAGTACATTCCAATAAAATATGTATAAAAACAAATTAACAATAAAAATATATGATATATACAGTTGAATCCCGTTAACTCGGACCCTAGATAACTCGGACTTTTACTAAGTCAGACAGAAATTCAATTCCCCTTGAACATTCTCTATCAACTTACTGTAAAATCATTTGCTTAAGTCGTAGCCTGGTTAAGTCAGACCATTCGCTAACTCGTACTGTTTTTTAAGGTCCCTTTGGCAAAAAACTTCACTTAACTAGAACTTTTATTTTGAATTGCATATAAGTATACACTAACAAAACTTCCAATACTTCAATAAAAATTCCAAACTTTAAACTAGGGCCCTGCGAATCGACAGTTTTTGTTTCGAATCTTAAATCAAAGCAGGTCTTGATTCGCAATTCGAATCACATTTTGAGTCAACATTTTGAAGTCTAAATTTAAGCACTTTTTATTTAATAATACATATTTCAAAATAAAATAAAATAAAAAAATTGTATAATCTCTTTATTGATACTTCTTGCCCTGGTTAACCTTTTTAATGACTGATTAAAACTGATATTTAGGGATAAGTAACGTTATTTTGATAGCGCCAAAGCACAGAATATGTAAAATACCCACAACAAAAACAAAATAAGTAAAGATTAAATTTTTGAAAATTTACGAATTGAATCTCGAATCATTTTTTTGATTCGATTCGATTCGAAATTTTGAAGCTTTGTAGGGCCCTTCTTTAAACGATCGATAATAAAATACTTTTCTCAATAAGTAGGACATTTTCAAAAAGTCTGACTTAACGAGAGCTATGCAAAATTTGGACAATAAATATATACCCTTTTGGAGTCGGAGTTAACAGGATTCTACTGTATTTATTTAAAACTAAATTTTTATCAACATTAAGACAATCTGACTATTATCAACTTTTATCAAGAAAATCTGACTATAAGAAGAATGACTTCATGTAATCAATTAAAAGTTACATGGCCGCTCAACTACTTGAAACAATACTTATGGTGTTATACTAAAATAGAGATAGGCAAGAAACAAAATATGCGGCAAACTGAAATAGGTTTTAAAGCACACATCTACTGATTATTTAGAATATGGGCAATATAAATATATAGATAATGATTATGCAACATACAGTATGACGTTAGAAGGCAAAGTAAAGAAAAAGAGATTTAAAATTAGTGAGATATGGGAGTATGGAAATAATTCTTCACATTTAATATGATCAAAAATAAATTTAATATGAAAAATATTAAAAAATTTTGAGCTCTCTTTATTACATTCAAATTTGCTACCAAACTTGCATATAAAAATTTTCTCTTAAATATAGCTCTTAAGTGGATTATGACAACCCAAGAAATGTTCAAAGACTTTACAGTGCAAAAATAAAATAAGACCAAGATTTATTATTAGTGTTTTGAAATTTAGAGTTAAGAGAAATAAAAGATGCCTCCACCATAGAAGTGTTTTACAAAACTTTGGAGATGTAAATAAATAAATTTAAAAAAAATCAACATCAGCAAAACACCTGTAGAATCTTCATAAGTACAACTTCATCACTGCTGGTATCTGTTCCCACAAAACGTGCATGAGTGACAGCATCTGCCAAATTATCTATTCCAGAACTTGCACTCTCTGATAAAGGATCTAAATTTATTTAAACAAGAAAATAATTTTTAGATTAATCTAGTACTTACTAGAATAAAAATCGTTTTTATAAAAAATAATTTTTTTTTATAAAAATTGTCTTTATTATAAGTCTTCTATTTTGTCTTAAATTTTTTGCTTAAAATTATACATATAATCTTTTTCTTTTTTGAATATAAAAATTTGATTATTATCTATAAATTATCATATATTATTCTATAAAGAATTACGATGCTAGTCACTTTGATTATGATTGATCACTTGGTTTATTTACATTTTCTAGTTTAATAAACTAATACATTTATAAATATTGTACTTTAGTGGAATCTTTAAAACAAACCTCACCACAGTAAATTTATTGGAATTATGAATATTTTTTATACATCATATTGGAATTATGGTGAATATTTTTTATACATCATATTTGAAATATGATGAATATTTTTCCATTAATTTCCATTAATCTATTATATATTATTGCTGAACTTAATAGCTTTAGTAGTGTCCCTTGGAGCGTATTTGACATGAAACCCTTGGCAGCCATTGCAACCGAGGTATTGATGAGAAATAGCCTTACCTTTGCTTTATAAGAAAACGTGAGCAAACGTGAAACTTATGCCGTACGTACCTAAACTTTATGTTATGTAATGTTAAAAACATGCTTAAACATATATCAAGTTTTGCAGTTTGATTTTCATTTAAAAACTGCATTGCATCAACTTCTTCTTAATTTCTGATCTTTAGCATCTATATCTGTTAAAAACAATTTTTATATAGTTTTAAAATTTTGTTAAACAAGAAGCCTGCATGGCCAAGTGGTTAGCGCGCTGAGCTTTTGAACAAGAAAACCGTGGTTCAAGTCCTACCACCAGCGACTTTTTTTTTAATTTTTTTGCGTATGTATTGTTATTGAGATACTTATGTTACTTTAGTTTAACATTTCAAGTTTATTTACAACTAAGTTGAGTTCGTGCAAGAAAAATTAGTAAACAACATGTTTATATATAGAAAAGTTTTTGTTTGCCGTTTTGTTGCGCCATTTTTAATATTTTTCTTGAATATTATTGGCAAACCTTTATTTTTAAATGATTAAAAACGTACCTATTTGCGTCAACATATAAAGAAGTTAGGCGTTTAAGTACAGTCTTGATGTCGTTTTCTTATTGTTTACAAAACAAAAGGTTATGAGCATAGTCCCGAAGAATTTCAATGCAGTTGAATTTCCATCTGCTTTATACTTCCATTTTTAGTTTTAGAACTTGCCACGCGGCAACCTTAACTTTTTCAAAACAGTACGGGGGTTAAAAAAGTATGTTTTTTATAAAAACATTATTAAAAATTCTAATTTTATATTTAAATGAAACCTTTTTATTAAACTAATTACTTATAAAAATAATTAAAAGTTAAAGTTATTTAATATTGATACAATAAAGAAATTTAGAGTTATACAGCATCCACGCCCCCATTAAACATTCAAAACCGAGTGCGCAATAACGACACAATTTAGATAACCATCAAAATAGTATTATACTCTATTTTTTTTGGCTTTACATACTTTTTGGCTGATCCTATATCTAAACTTTAAAATAAGGGATTGCCCATAAATTACTAAACACTAAATTTCACAATTGAAGAAAACAAAAATGATCTAAATTTTTCCTCACAATATGTTAAATAAAAAATCTATATAGCTCAATAAGTTTAATGAAAATCGCTATCCTAAAGAACTGAAGATCTCTTACACTTTTTGAAAAATAAATTTAGCGTTGCGTAATTTTTGGGCAATTTCATAGCGTTTTATAGTTTATCTATTTTTTTGCTCTTAAATTTGTTTTTCAGAGCAAAATCATTTTACTTAAAAGTATTGAAGTAAATAAGAAATAGGTATAGAAATAATCGTTTGGAATAGGTATGTGTAGAATTAGTAGGTTTGGTAAAGGCCCGTATTTTACGGATTCAAAAAGCTAGGATAAAAGTATTAAAAAGTTAAGGAAAACATATTAAAAAGTTCGGTTCAGAATAGACTTACAAAGTCTCGTATTTTTACGGGTCCGATATCAGCTAGTTTCCATTAATCTACAAGTAGCTATTAATAATAATAATCTACTTTTTTTTCAAACATGTTTTCAAGAGAAGTTTGAAACAATGTTTTAAAACAGTATCAACTAAAAAAATATTATAAATTTAAAAAAAAGACCTTTAATCTAATTTAATCTAATTTTACCTTTAATCTAAAGGTAAATACAGTAAGCAAAAACAAAAATAATAACAATAATACCCGTCACAAGCCTTCACAGGAGACACGTATAAAATAAAACACATATTGTATAAAAGACAAATCAGAAAAATAAAATTTTTCAGGTTTATCTTTTATAAAATAAAAAGTTAAACTTAGCAATAAAAAATAAAAATTAAAAGCATTACACTTATGGTACCCCGCACAGGAGCTATTGTATGAACACGAAAAAAGTTTAAATTTAAGTAATTACGTTTTTTGAACTAAGTAAAAAACAAAGTCCAGATTATAACTTTGAAATCAAGATATAAATTACTTTAAAATAAATATATAAATAACTTTGAAATAAAGGTATAAACAATTTTAGGCAATAACTTTGAAACTTTGATTTTTCTTAAGTCTAGTAAGTGACATGTTTTTAAATTAAAAAAAGCCATATTTGTTACTTTTATTGCATACTTTTTTCAAGTTTTTCTTTAATATATTTTCTCATTCATTAGATTTTTTTTCTTTTTTTTTTTTTCAGTTTATTACTTGCTTTGTTTTCTTTGATTAAATATATAAATAAATCAATTAAATTAACATAGTTTTCAACGAGTTATTAAAAATATCTTTTGTACTTTATGTTATTTCTTTTTTTTACTTCCAAAAAATAAGTCAAAAAAAATTTTAATAAAATAATTAATAATATAAGCAACTTCAAAATCAAAGTAAACCTTAAACATATAAAGATGTACTGAACACTAAAAGTTTAACAAGTCAAACATGGTTTTATACTTGCAGTCTTACTCTATACTAAAAAAAAAAATTAATGATTTTAATAGAAAAATTAGTACCAAGTAATCCATATGATAAGAATTTGTTAACTGATGAAAGCGCTACTCCAGTTATTGGTCCTGTAGTGTCTTCTGAACGAATAACATCAAGAAATGGTCCAAGAAAAACATTTGTATCTAAACTGTTTATGTCTAAACAAACAAAAAAATTAAAATACATAAGTAAATATAAAAATATCCTTTTTTTTTTTATTGTCATTAGACAAATGTATAATAAATTTAAAACTCCATACAAAGTAGAAATAAAAAGTATTGTAAATCATTTTTAATATATTTAAAAATAAACAATATTTTTTTATACTGTAAAATCGCCTAAGTTCGGTCACTTGAGCTTTGAACATTTATTTATCATGCATAAATAAAAAAAAATTAATTTTTTTTCCTGAAACATACAGAACATTTTATTGATAACTGATATTGTAAAAATAAAAATATGAAAAATAAAAACTAGTACTCAATATTTTGCTTTAAATGAAAACATCTACTTTGACTGAACTTTCTATACCATCTCATAAGTTCAGTCATTATATAAATACTAATAACGTATCAAACTTATTGTCACAAAAAGTGAAAATTAATTTTTAAATGTTGTTTTATTCTAAACTTATGATATAAATTCAGGTAATACCAGTAACTAAGGAGGACAGCGCCCTGGGATCGAAAAAAAAAGTCTTTTGGAGCACCAAAGAAAACAAGAAGGAGCACATAAATCTTTTTAAATATAAGAAGTTTTTAATTTTTATTGTAATTAGTCAACTATTTTATTACTTTGACCATTACCACATTTTTTACGCCACTGGTTAATAAAGTATAAAATATATTTTTTAACTAACTTAAAAAAGGTTTTTTTAATTAGGAACCGCCCATAAAGTACATACACTTGAAGAGGAAGAGGGGGTCTGCTTTTGGGTTTATGAGATAAGAGGGGGGGGGAGACGGGTCCAGGAGGTCAATTATAAAAGTATGGAGACACTAAATTTAAAATGATATCATAAAATTTTGGGTTGGTAGGTTAAAAGCATAGGTACTTTTAGGGAGGTAGAGGGTACTCAAAAAAGCGTATGGCAAAATGGGGATGGGGTGGTGGTTGGGGTGTTTGAAAAAAAAGCCTATGTACTTTTTGGACGACCCCTTAACAAAAAAACACTACTTTGCTTTAAATGAGGATTGTATGTTTATTGGCAATTCTATTGTATGTTTTGTATGTATTGTATGGCAATTCTATTGTATGTTTATTGGCAATTCTGCACATATCGTTGACCATAGTAGAACAGCAAGATCCACACAACCATCACAGGATTTGCAACGCATCCATAATTGTGGTTGAGCTGTAATTTTATCTCCAAAATAAAATGTCACAAGCTTGGCGATTTTTAGAACTCAAAGAACCGTCAGTTAATTTTGAAATTATGAGCAAATTTTTATTTAAACAAAATATCATGGTGTGTATCTATTTTGAAAATGTCAAAGTTTACTGGTACATTTTCTGGTAAATTTAACAATAAATTTTACATTCGCAACAATTATTAACATTTCACAATATTACTGCTAATTGTTTCCTTCGTTGTTTATCCGTGAATGACCAAAGTTGGAGTATTTCAAAATTTCACTAATTTTTATAAAAAAAGTAGTTAATTTTTTAAAATTATTAAATTTTTTTTGTAAATATAATTAATTTAGTGATTCTTAATAATACTATGATTAAATTTGATCATTTATTTTAATATTTTGCTTACTTTAGATTTTATTAGTATGCATTTTTTCAAATTGTTTTGCTGAAAAATTATTTTAGCAGGTTGCATATAAACAATATTTTTTTATAGATTCATATTTACAAACTTATTACAAATATTATTTGAGAAAAAGAAGTTTGTAAAATTTGAGTTTAGCATGCTATATAATTTTATTTTATCATAATTCTTTCCTTCATTGGATGTTATTTTGTTATCACTTTTAGTTTATAGAATTGAATTTATATAATGTAATATATATATATATATATATATATATATATATATATATATATATATATATATATATATATTATATATATATATATATATATATATATATATATATATATATATATATATATATATATATATATATATATATATATATATATATATATATATATATATCAGGCTTGGTCAAGAAGCGGGTGCGATCGCACTCAATAACAGACCACAGAAATAATATTTAATTGCGAAAAACCGGCCAGATTTTTTAGCCGTTTCAAGAACATTTAAATTTATGTTGGTTTCCTTAATTAAGTTCATTATTTTATATAATTTTGATTTACGGACATACATGGAAACATACATAAACTCGAATGATCTTAAACATCTTTGTGCGGAAAATAAAAAAAGAATATTTGTGAACACAAAAAACCCGCCAAATCTACGAACAACTAATTAAAAAATACTAACCGAAATTTCAAGAGTATTCTGTTGAAATATTTTTAAAAATTGTATTTATTTGAGTTTTGTTATGTTTTCATTGAGATTTCTAGCATAAATTGTTTTAAGAATATACTATCAAACGAACTATTATTTTAATTCTCGGAGCCACATCTACAAAGCTATAAATGTTTTAAACTAACATTATTTGTTTACAAAAATAAATGTTTTAAATTTATCTTTTTTAACTTGTCAGCGTTTTGTAAATACATCATAGGTTTTATTAGTATATTTTTATTTTTATATAATGGATGTATTTTTTATGTAATGTATTTTTATGAATGTGTTTTTTGTGCATTTAATTTTATGTATGTGTATTTTATTCATATGTAATCCTTTAAAGCAATTTGTGTGATTGATTTTGTACACAAAAATACTTTCAATAATAACTGCGTATTTAATGAAATTAATAATAATCATCAAAGTTAATACAAATAATTTGAACCACTAATCCATTTTCCTCAGTGTACCCAATAACTATCGCTATCGCACTTGACATTTCTAAAGCTTTTGATAAAGTTTGGCATGCTGGTCTTCTCCATAAGCTTTCTTCTTATGGTGTAGCTGGTAACGTCTTTAAGATTATTGAGTCCTTTCTTTCCAATCGTAGTATAAAAGTTGTCCTCGATGGACAACACTCTTCTTCACATCCTGTAACTTCAGGGGTTCCTCAAGGTTCAATCCTTGGCCCTATACTCTTTTTAATTTACATTAACGATCTTCCAGATATTCTCACATCTAAGGTGGCATTATTCGCTGACGACACTACCATTTACTCTTGTCATGATAAGAAGCCTACACTCTCTGATTGCTTGGAGGGGGTATCTGAGCTTGAAAAGGATCTCACTTCTGCTACAGCATGGGGCTCACAGTGGCTGGTGAACTTTAATTCAGATAAAACTCAATTTTATTCGGCCAATCGTTATCGTAATAATTTAGATCTTCCTATATTTATGAATGGTAATGTACTAGATGAGTCATCTACCATTCATCTTCTAGGATTAACTCTTACTTCTGATCTTTCTTTTAAACCGTATATCAAATCCATTGCAAAATTAGCATCTGCTAAGGTTGCATCTCTTTATCGAGCTCGACACTTTCTTACTCCAGATTCTATTCTCTACCTCTATAAATCTCAAATCCGTCCCTGTATGGAATACTGTTGCCACATCTGGGGCGGATCTTCTAATGATGCTCTTTCTCTTTTAGACAAGGTGCAAAAACGAATTGTAAACATAGTTGGACCTGCTCTGGCAGCCAATCTCCAACCTTTGTCACATCGTCTTAATGTTGCTTCTCTTTCTCTTTTCTACAAATACTATAATGGGCACTGCTCTAAAGAGCTAGCGTCCCTTGTGCCATCTACTAAAATTCATTCTCGTGTTACTCACCATTCAATTAAGTCTCATCCTTTTTCTGTGACTGTTCCTAAGTGCTTCAAAAACTCTTATTCTTCTAGTTTTTTTCCTCGAACATCAGTTCTTTGGAATTCGCTTCCTTCATCTTGCTTTCCTGATTCATATAATTTGCAATCTTTTAAGTCATCAGTCAATCGTTATCTTGCTCTACAGATTTAGTCTTTTCTCTTCCAGTAACTTCCAACTCTTATAGTGGTTGCTTGCAGCCTTGTTGGAAGTGAAGATGTTAAAAAAAAAAAAAAAAAACTGATTCTATACCCCAAGAAAGAAAAGTTTTTAAGTTCTTAGAGATTGGTTTACTAACTTTACTTATTTTTGGTTCAGCCATTCTTACAAACTTGTTATACTTAAACTCAAAGTTACTTTTTTCTGTTTTAAATACTAATTAGAATTATAAAGCCCACTTATTAAACATCTTCAGCGTTATTGTGAAGCAGTTCCGCTTCCTCAACACATAGTAATTTAACGTTTTTAGTTAATTTCTATTTAGATAATTGAATTTCTGCAGTAACTCAATGATTTAATTATTTCATTTGTTCATCTTACTAAGGAAAATTGTTTCAAATGTGTTAAACTTCTCAAACTACGCAAAGCATAAAACAGTTATTGAAAAAACTTTTTTATTTATAAATAAATCATCTAGCGTTAGTTTTATTAGTTGAATCTTGTTGGACTTTTCAGGGCCAGGGACTGCATTATTTTGGCGGCCTTTTTATTGTGCCACAGCGTAAAAATGACTAAAAAAAATACAGAATGGTCCTCTTGACTATTTCGCGGCCCCCAACATTGTGAGTATCGAGGCTATAGCCCTTCTACTCCCCCCCCTACCTCCTCAATCCAGCACTGGAAATAAGACACAAGTATATAAATAAAAATTTTATATATTCTTTGATAAATCGAAGAACATTTGTTTCCTAATTAAACAATCATTAATCGTATTTTGTTGATTTATACAAAAAATGTCACTTAATTTTATAAAAAAAATTATAAAAGAGTGACGTTTCAAAAATATTTGCTCTAATCATATTTATTTTGCTTAAAGTTTTTTCGCATATTTTTTAACTGTCTCTCATGGTCCAGTTAATCTAGTTTGTTTTTGGAATGTTCTAAAAACGACTTCAAAATCTGGCCGGCTTTTCGCAACTAAATATTATTTCCGTGGTCAATTATCGAGTGCAATCGCACCCTCTTCCCGACCAAGCCTGATATATATATAAATATTTTATAATTGAATATATAAATTATTTTATTTTTCAAACTAACCAAATTTTATAGTTTCATTCTTTAAATTATAAGGGAGATTCTGTAGTAAATTAACAAATAATATATAAACTTTATTATATATATATATATATATATATATATATATATATATATATATATATATATATATATATATATAAATATATATATATATATATATATATATATATATATATATATATATATATATATATATATATATAAATAATATATATATATATAAAATATTATATAAACTTTATTACATCAAATAGATTATATATATATATATATATATATATATATATATATATATATATATATATATATATATATATATATATATATATATATATATATATAATCTATTTGATGTAATAAAGTTTATATATTATTTGTTAATTTACTACAGAATCTCCCTTATAATTTAAAGAATGAAACTATAAAATTTGGTTAGTTTGAAAAATAAAATAATTTATATATTCAATTATAAAATATTTTAATTAAAACTTTCCAGCATGATTTTCAAATAAAAACTTGTAAATCACAATATACAAAATAAAAAATTGTCACAGTAAGCAAAATAAAAACTTGTCACAATAAACATAATAAAAACTTTTCACAGAACAAACAAAAAATACTTTGTTAGCAACAACAACTGATTTCCAAATCTTCAACATATTTAAAATATATGAAACCATTATAAACAAATTTATAAAACCATTAGTATCCCCACCACGTCCCTGGTAGTACCGCGCTCAACTCGTTTCTCCGCGCAGCGGCCTTGCTCGTCAAGGTTCGTGTTTCGGAGTTATAGAGTTGAGAGAGGGTTATAACCACAAATAAGTAGGTGAATTAAAAAAAAAAAAAAAAAATATCCATAAAAAGATAATCCCTGTAGAAACCATTATTTAAAGAATTATAAAATTAAACTTAATCTTATAATACTTCATAAATATCATTATAAAACATAAATCATATATACCATAAATATCATTATAAAACATAAACATATCATTATACATAAACATAAATAATTATTATAAGTACAAACATTTTCATATATATGAGAATGTTTACATTTATATTAATTATTTATGAATGACAATATTTATACTCTCATTACCACAGCATTTTTCGATTAAAAGTCTTTTTTATTTTCTGGTCATTTTGTCCTCTTTATTTACTAGCTTTATTTACTTTTACAATGTAAAACTTATTTTTGAAAAAAAAAGATAAAACTTATGTTTGAAAAGAAGGATAAAACTTATGTTTAAAAAAAAGGATAAAACTTATGTTTGAGAAGAGGAATAAAACTTATGTTTGAAAAGTAGGATAAAACTTACTGAGCACACTTACATCAATATATAGAGATTTACACTTATAAAAATTTGCATTTATGTCAGTGTTTGCACACTCTTTCCAAACACTTATGCCGATTAACACTTATATAGATTCATAATTATTTAACTACAGACTTTCAACATTAGCAATTACACAGATTTATATGAAATACGTACTTAGGTAGTCACACTTAGGTAGTCACACTATTAGTAAAAAGTTTAAATAAAGAATAAAACATCTCAATTCATTTAGACCTCTTTTTTATCACAAAATCCAGATGACGTAAGGGTTTTATATAAAAAAAAGATTCAAAGTTAATCCAAAAAATTGGTGGACAAGACTCAAAATACTAATGTAACAAGAACAAACTTGGAAAAAATGACTTTATCTCAAAATACGCAACCGAACTTGTTGAAATTAGCCAATGTCTACCCAGTTGACAGTACTATATATTTATTAAATAATTATAATATCTTGACTCACTAGAAGCAATTCTAAACTAAAAACTGTTATATAAAATTTCTGTTTTTGTTGAAATAAATAAAATATATGCAATTTAAATTATATTATATTAATTTACAATATTGTTTTAAACAAAATGATTTTAATAACAAAAGCTGTTACTGTTTGACTAAAACGAAAATGCAATAGTAAAAAAACTTTTTGCAAACATTTTTAAAGTAGTTTATTCTAGAGGTTTGTCCACATTATTTTTTGAATGAAAAAATTTGAAAATGTTGGTTTTTGTAATAAACACATTCACAAATACTTCTGCTAAATATTAATTACCTTTGGTTTCCTGTAAAGTTTCTTTAAGCTGAATAAAACTATTAATCAAAGGGTCCTGCTCATCTTCCTAAAATATAAATTTAAAGAACTATACAAAATATATAGATATGGTTCATTTTATTTACTTACATAATACAGAAACAACTTAAGTTAAACACCTATAAAATGGAAAATAGTATACCTTATGGATCAAGGTCAGTGGACAATAAATTCTTTAATAATAAGTGAAATTTTTAGGTTACTTATTTCTTTAATCATTATTTTCTATTATATTGTTTTCATTTATTACTTCATTACTTCACTTAAAATAAAAACTATGTTGCACTATAAACAAATTTATTATCATGTATTTCTTTAATGCAAGAAAAAGATTTCAAAAGAAAAGAATTAAAAAAGCAGATATTTATGAGTTTTCAATTTTATTTATGAGTTTTATTTATGACTCATAAATTATGAGTTATTAAAAAGGCCAACCAGACCAAGGTTAAAAGTTTAAAGGCAAAGAGTTTCAAGGTCAAGGACAAATGTTTAAGATCTACAAAAACATTTTCAAAGCCAAATACTTAATTTTTAGCCTTACATTAAAGTCAGTTGTTAACAAAATTGTAGGTAGCAAGTGCTTTGACAATGAAAACAAAATGTTATGAAATTATATAAGAAAATATATTTCGAGATAATATGAAAGCCAAAAACAAAAATACATAGAAATAAAAAATAAAAACTTTCAATTTTTTTTTTAAGTTTTTTTTTTATGCTTAATGTTACCAACTTTTAATAAAAAATACGTTGATATTAGTTGCTAACATTAATTGTCTAAAGCATTAACTATCAATTTATATAGCCTATAAGTCTTTGTTACATTTAAAAAACATCAAAGTTTCAAGCAACAAATTAGACATAAGAGCTCTATGAGGGTGCATTACAATCCACTCTGACAAAAGATATGCTTGACAGGAATTGATGCTGCAGGGATACAGAAATATTTGTCAAATATATATTTCTAATTTTTAAATACTTTCATTGCATACAGGTTTTTTTTTAGAAAAAATCTTTTTGATTAAATTCTAGTAATTTATTTGTTCAAAATAGTTTGTCAAAACTATTTTGTTTGTAAAACATAATTTTATAATTTGCAAAAAGATTTTATAACTTGCAAAAAGCTTTTTTTTTTTGCAAAGTACAAAACATTAGGTTAGTAAGTATTAAACTTCTTAACGATAACTAAGTTTTTTTGTAGTACTACAAAAAAGAAGAGCTGAATTTTTTCTGTTTCTACAGATTTTTGCTGAGATATCTGAAATAATGTCAGTTTACAAAGTTGCGTATTTTTAAAATATTAAAAATCTGAAAATTTAAAATATCATAAACTACAATATATTTAGTATTATTTACATTCTCTCTGTGAAAATATGCTATTCTAAATGAAGTTATACGAGCTGCCAATAAGCCTCCTTAGCTTCTTGGTGGTTCTCATAACTTCTCATAACTTCCTTTAACTATTAACAAAAAAAATAGATCTGAAAACCTGAAAAAAAAAATTTTTTCTGGATCATTTATTATATTTATAACTTTATTTACTATCCAGTAACATGTTGACAGGGTTGTCCCACAATAATCTTACAAAGGTGGGGGAGGGGGTATCTACGTAAGATGTTCAAAGAATAATTATCTTTTATAATTGCTACAAAAAATTTCTCTCATATAATTATCAATAATCAAAAATAATGATCAAGTCAAAGTAAGTACACTTCAAAATAAAACATTTAAACACATAAAAAATTATTTAAACTACCACATTTGAAAGTTTAGACGTACTTTTAACTTTTTTTGTTAGAAATACGTCTAAAAAATTCCATAGCTACTGCTTTAAAAAAAATGATATTTAAAATCATAATTTTTATATATTTCTCAAAGACAAACTTATCCTATAAAAAAGAATATCCACTTAGTGGAATTAAATTCATTAATGAACATGTTAAAACATAAACAGCATTTTAAAAATAAATGATATTGGAAACATGGCCTAATGGGCTAGAAATACAAAAGAGAATGATATTGAAAACATGTAACAAAAATGTAACAATTTCTAAAACCTTTGTATAACATATACATTTACAATGTTAAAAAAGTTTAATGCTATCATATTAAAAACCAAAGTATTATTATTTTTTTATAAGAAATGATGGCATTTTAGTTTAGTGCCATATAATGGCTTTTAAAAAAACAAATTCAGTTTCGTATATACAGTCGTATAGTCTATATGGCATGGTGGTTTGATATCAGAACAACTTTATTTTAATTCATAAAAAAAATTATTAGTTTCGCCGTTTCAATAAATGCATCAAACTAATGCAACCTTAAATATCTTATTATACGGCCGTTACGTTAGTTCTAACCTGGTGAAAGTGAGCTCCACTCCATCGATTACTTCGCCTTAGTGCAGCAACAACATGATTAAGTTCTCCTTGTATTATATAAATAGCATTTTTTGGCAACATTTTATTAAATATTTAGAATGAATATTCATTTAGGAATAATTCTTTATTATAAGTTTCCATTATTTTTATGCATTTTAAAAATTTCATATTTGCAGCCATATTTTATGAGACGTTTATATTTAAATATACACAACATTTGCTCTTAAGGTCGGGAAGTACATGAAATTTTAACCGGAAAAAAGTTATACCGGGTCAAATAGATCTCCGCTTTGTAAAATAAAGCCGGATAACTTTATAAAAAGCCGTAAATATTGTTCCGTTACCGGTTCCGATTCCAATTTCAAATCGACATAAACACTTAGTTTTGTAACGCATGCGCGCAGACTATTTTTTAAGCATTAAAATCCAAGTATTCTAAAAGTATGAAATTGCATTCAATTTTTTTGAATAAAAAATTAATTTTTTTACGTAAGTGATGTAAATTGTATTAATTCTTAACCCTTATTTAAATAAATTTTGAATAAATGTTTCTATTTTTTTTAATTAAGAGAGTACCTGCCCAAACCAGAACTCTTAACAAATGTATGTTTACTTTACTGTTCCAATTATTATATCAGTCAATGCATGTTTACAAACATACAAACGCAACTCCACAACGTTTACCCCTATTTATGTGAAACCTCTGTTTACAACTGCAAACAAAAGTTTATGTTAAAAATTCAGGTTGTACTATCTGTATGCAATACCTTTTGGGGCTCGGCGATAAGACTCGGCTATAATTTTGTCTTTTTTTAGCCCAGTTATGTAAATATTTTTTTTTATAAATTAAGATTGTAAATTATTTTCTCATCGGCACATACATACATCCAAAAAAGTGACGAACTTAGGTAAGGTGCGTTATGGATAGTCAAACAGTTTTTATGGGCTATATCATTCATATAATTAAACTCGATGTTTCATGAAACTTTTAATTATTACTTGTAAGATGGAAATAATAAATTAAGTTCGCGTTGCAGATATTTATTGATATTTACCGTTTTATCACGGACTACCGTGGTTTGAAAAACTGTAAGTTTCTAATGTTTCAGTTATTTATAAAAGCGTATATGATCAATGGTAAATTTCTATAATTTTATTTTATTGTTATAGTGATATTTAAAGCACACCAAAAAGTCAAAGTAGCCTTATTAAAGAACACTGTGGGATAGTATTTAATAAGAAAGTTTTTCTTCTTTTTCTTTTTGCTATTCTGACTTTTTTATTCCGAAATCAGCCATTTTATTCACTTACACCATTACTTTTCAAAGATTTAATTTATAGTAATAAACAAATTTAAATACCAGATAACCACAAAAAAAAATTACAGTTTAATTTAAAGTTCACTTCATTCCATTATTGTTTATAGGAAAACTATCATTACTTTTGTTATTATTAACACTGGAATTAGTAAATTTTGATAAGAAAACACTTTATGAAAACTATGACGTCATTAAAGTTATGAAACCATGTGTAGTTGTAAGTATTTTGATCCAAAACTTTAAATATTAAATTATGTCAAAATGAAATAAATTTAAAAATTAAATAAAATGAAGTTAAAATAAGATAAAGTTTTGTAAAGTATGAAACAAAATTAACCTTTTAAACTTTAAATCTCCATTTTATCATGCAGTCTAAGTAGGCCCTACTGCATTATAAAATTGCATGATAAAGGTCTAAGTAGGCCGCCAATCTGCATGATCATGCAGATCATGAAGATTGGCGGCCCTGAGTCTAAGAGCATCTTTTATTGCAAGTTTAAAAAAAGTTTTTGAGTCAAGCGCAAATTATTATCTGTTTGTAAAAACCGGAAAGTAAATAATTTTATCGGTGTTTTTTCAGAATCCTATATTTTTGTTGGGTCCGAATATTATATACAAAAAGTTATTACTATTAACCCATGGCCTATATTATATTAAAAATAATTAAAACTATATTAGTGTTACTATATTTAAATAAGTATAACTGACAATCTTCAATCTGGGTCTTAAAAATATATAGAATGAAATGCTGATTTTGAATTTGATGAAGAAAAAAAAAGGAATAAATATTATAGTCATAACGTAAAGACATTTTGATTTACAATTAACTGTATATTTTAGAGCTAATTCAACACTCTGAGTATTTTTTTAAAAAGGATTATCGTTAATAGTAAAATTTGTCAGTCGTCTTTACATAATAACCTAATAGGCTTTTTTTTCATGCAAAAAGAGTTAAAATTACGTAACAAAAGTTCTGATAAAGTAAGACTGTATAATAAATCATTAAATGTATAAGTTTTATAATTAATAAATCAAATGAAAAATTTCTGTGGTATCGAAAAAAATTCTGTGGTAGAAAGGACTCGAAACGTTCTATTAATAGAATATTTTTCCCAAAAATTATTTCTCAAAAATTATTTATTTAAATTTTTAAAAGCAAAAGAATAAATTTTTTTTTGCCCTTCTAATCAAATTTTCTGTAAATATTACTAAAAAAAAACCTTTATTGTCATTCCATTTGATATGTAAAATTATATACCATCTGCATAAACGTTGATAAGGTAATTGTTATGCATATTGATACTCATATGGTCTATTTCCGTGACACAACAGTAACACAAAGTAAAACATGGGTTTGAATAATTTTTTTAAAGGGTCTTAAAATATGTAAATAAAAAAAAAATGACGTTGTCTTTTGATACCCCTGTTGTCTGATTTAAAACTTGCATATTACAACTATATTAAAATTTTAGTTATCATTTTTTTAACACCCTACCTCTTAGGCATAATTTACTTTCTTGGCTTAAAAAAACATGTAATGTTAAATTTATAGATATACAATATTTATTTTCAAAAAACTATAAGTGGAAGAGGGGGTAATTGCCCTCTCCATATGGATCTACCCTTGAGTTTCAAAAGCTAAATATTTTTTAACAACAATTTGACATTGATCAGAATGTTATCAATAACTTCCATATTTATCCATATATATTTTATTTGTATAAATTTTAACAACTTTCTTTTTGAAGTTTTTGAATCGTAACATCGTGTATTACTGAACCCTTCCCTTCCCTTTGTCACTAGTTGTCACAAACCTCTGTGTTTTACCTTTGGCTCTTGAGCGTGACATTTATGGAGAGTTATTTAGTGATGTAATTAGTGACGTATATTTTTGTAATAACAAGTATATAAACAAACTCTATTGAGATGCAAACAGAAGTCAATTAGTTTTTTTATTTATACAACTTATTTGAACCCACATGTTTTGAATTGTAAAAGATAAAAAATAGAAAAATAGAAAAACAAAAATTTGTAATTTTTTATAACGAATTATAAAATATCGCATTCATTTTGAATTATTTTCTTTTAAATAAAGTTTAACAAAAATGGTCATAATAAATGAAGAAAAAAATAAAGAGTTTTTAAAATATGTTTGAACGCGGGATGTAAAAATAGGAAAAACAACATAAGTTTTAAATAAATATGTTTACTAAAAAATAAATAAACACGTTATATTTACTAAAAAATTCTTATTATACATTCATCTACCAACCTTTTTTACAAATTCTATTTTAAACGCAAATTATTATTAAAAGTTGTTACATGGCGTCTATTTCCTTATGGAATTTTTTATGTCGTTCGTTTATTTTATAGTTTTTTTATAGAAATTTTTATGTTGTTTTTATGTTTATTCATTATAGAATTTCTTATGTCGGATGTTTTTTTTTCTTAAAAAAACAGCCGACAAAAAATTTCCATAAAAAAATACTATGAGCAGCGCAGGCGCAATGGTTAGAGTTCTGACTCAAAACCAAAAACTCGAGGTTCAATCCAACTTTGGCCAGGTAAGCAACATTCCTGAGGAAAGTGATTTCTAGTTAAATGCTGTTAGCGACCAGTTGTTGACCAAAAATTGAGGGAGGACTTGGGATTTTTATCTCAAACCTTTTAATTTATACGTTTATTAAACATTGATTAAACGTTTATAATATTGACTAAAATAATATTATAAACCTTTAATAAAAGTAGATTGATAGATAGATGTAATCTTTTTTTGTCAATATAAAATTTTTTTACAAAATTGGTAAGGTAAAAAATTGACTAAAGCAAGCAGATGGTTTTATCATCTTGCCCCTTTCAGTTATATTTTACAATCAATATCAATAAAAAATAAAATGAGCACAAATTATAAGATTTATATAGAATTATAAGTAGCACATAAATATAAATATATATAAATATAAAAACTCGTATAATTAAAATAGCCAAATAAATGTATTTTAATAAATATAAATATAATTAAATGCATTTTTATAAATATAACCATAAGCATTTCCAGCTATTGTGGAAATAAATAAAAGATTTCAAGACGTGTAAGAGTTTTTTAAAAATTAAAAATTGTTTTAATAATGTTGAGGTCAAGTAACTGTTGTTTTACAACGCATTTAAAATGTTGAATCGAGTTTATCGTTTTAACATCATTTGTGAAAAATGAGTTCCAAAATTGTGGTCCTCTTCTATGTATTGAGAATTTGAATTCTCTCAAAGACATTTTTGAAATATAGTAGTTCTGCATAGAATGTTTTGTTTCGTATTTATAATCAATAAGTTGAAAATAATTATGGAATATTTTTGGGACCAAACTATTGCTTAATTTAAACATAAACTAAAGGATGCTATAGATGTTTTGTTCATAAAGATTAAAAACTCTCAGTTCTTTCATTATTTGTTTAGTTATAGCATTCCATTTGTAAATATGCCGCATGCTTGTTTATGTTTTTTATAGATTAAAGCTAATTTTGATTGGTTTTGATTGATAAGTAATTGGCCTATAGCTAGTTTTGATTGGTAAGTAATTGCCCAGGCAACATTGCAGTAGCTAATGTAACTATGAACAAATGCAAAGTATAAATTTTTTAGACATTATTATTTTCTAATAATTTGATGTGGTCTTTCGAGCAAATATGCTTATCTAGTATTACTTCTAGAAGCTTCACAGAAAATGCTCTTTTTATTTTTGTTTTGCAAACTAAAATGTCTGGAAGTTTTAATAGTAATAAGTCTGAGTATGATTGTTTTGTGAAAAGAATGTATTTGCTTTTTTTTGAATGTCCTTCAACCAATCGCTTAGTTCTTTAAGCCCTGATTTACTGTGTTAAAAATAGTATAAATATTTGAGTGGGT